CCCACACAGCCTGCTGTTCGGTCGTTTGGTCGCCCCTCACTAACTCCCCTGCTGGCCTGGTCGCCCCATGCAGCCTGATGCTCAGTCATTTGGTCATCCCTAACTAACCCCCCCGATGGCCTGGTCGCCCTATGCAGCCTGCTGCTCAGTTGTTTGGTTGTCCCTCACTAACCCCCTGCCAGCCTGGTAGCCTCACGCAGCCTGTCGGTCTTCCATTTGGTTGTCTGTTCCGTTGCGATGGCCCCTGACTCTTTACATATAGAGATATTTATTAGGAACTCTGTGTGTTATGTATTAGGTTAACTATTTAAATTGATTTTTGAAGAATTATCTCATTAATAAACTGCAAAAATGCTATGAAATAGGTACCATTATTTTCCCTACTTTACATACAAGTTAATTGAGGTTCACAGAGGTTAAGCAACTTGTCTTAGGTCACACTGCTTTTAATAGTTACTTTGAACTTGGACCCATTTTTCATGTTCCCTTCCAGGCCTATAGAAATACATGTCATTTTCTATATAAGTATAGCTGTAGTTTCGATATAATTTGTATTCTGAGTTTTCATTTGATGTGTGTTAAATTTGCATGTGCTTTTTCATGCTATTTGTAAGACATCTCACTTATCAGTAACTCAGGGTAGAAAATGTATTAGTTTTCTAAAACAAATATTTTTCATGTCATGTATTTTAGCAATCATTCATCCATTCATTGAATAAATACTTCAAAAGCACTTACTCTGTGTCAGGCACCACTCTAAGCTCTTTAATATAAAATACTAGAGGCCCAGGGCATGAAAATTCATGCACTGGAGGGGGGGTCCCTCAGCACAGCCTGCTCCCTCTCACAGTCTGGGAGCCCTTGGGGCGGGAGGCGACCCGGCAATCAGGGGAAGGTGACGCCCCCATCACACCTCTGCTGCTGCCACAGCCGGCAGTGCAAGCCTCGGCCGGCCCTGGTTACCTGAGCCTCGGCCGGCCCTGGGCAGCTGGACAGATGCCATCTGAGGCTTGCCTGCGCCTTGGGCCAGCCTGGGCAGCTGGGCAGCCACCATCCGAGGCTTGCCTGTGCTTCAGGCCGGCCCTGAGCAGCTGGGGGGCTGAGGGGATTCGGGGACTCCGGAGGCAGGAGCCCAGCCTTGCCAATTACCTGCCACCCCAGCGGGGCTAAGGGGACTGGGCACCACCATCTTGTGGTTGTGGGCACCGCCATCTTTGAGGGCGTGGCAATCAATTAGCATATTTCCTCCTTATTGGCTGTGGGCACTACCACCTTTGATGGTGGGGTAGTCAATTAGCATATTCCCTCCTTATTGGCTGTGGGCGCCGCCATCTTTGAGGGTGGGGCAGTCAATTAGTATATTCCCTCCTTATTGGCTGTGGGTGCCACCATCTTTGCGATGGTGTGAGGGTCAATTAGCATATTCCCTCTTTATTAGATAGGATTAACTCATTTACCTTAAACTTTTTCCTGTAGGGCTTTCTACCTTAGTCCTTATTCTTCCAACCTTGTGAGGGTATCAGTATTGTGCCTTTGGAGACTGGGGGGAACAAACCTCTCTTCTGAATGCTTTGTTCAAATTAGACTTTATCAATACATTTTTATTGATTTCATAGAGGAAGGGAGAGGGAGAGAGATAGAAACATCATTGATGAGAGAGAATCAGGGATCGGCCGTCTCCCCCTAGTGGGGATCGAGCCTGCAACCCAGGCATGTGCCCTTGACCAGAATCGGAATCGAACCTGGGACCCTTCAGTCCACAGGCTGACGCTCTATCCACTGAGCAAAACCAGCCAGGGCTGATATAGTCTTTAAATGTGCTTTTATACCATGAAACCTCTTAGTAATTCCAGTATTGTTAGGCTGTGGATAACAACCATATTAAATGCTTACATTGTGATATTTGTGACTCATTCATATCTTACAATGTCCACAAACATTGACTTTTCTCCATACTTAACAAAAATTTATCCCAGACGTCCTCCATATATATATATACTTTGATGTTTATTTACTGAATCTCTCAGTATAGGACTCATCTATCTAATATTCCATTAAACCAATCCAAAATCCATTCATGTCCATGTCTGCTGAACACACCCCATTTCTACTGTCTTAGAACACTTTGAGATTGTACACATAAATGAGATATATGGAAATAAACCTTTACTTAATGTTCCTTTTTATTTTAAAATATACACTTAATCGCATTTTTCTTACATTCTGCTACTTAATGAGTGAGAACCTTTTTTTGTTTTTACTGCTGTGAAACACATGGAGTCATATTTCCTTTGAGGTCATAAGTTATACATATACTACCTACCAACTACCTACCTTGTGAGTCTCTACTCACTATTGTTTTATGGTTGTTTTTGTTACTACTGTTGTTTTATTTTTATTTTTTTCTCTTTGCAGTTCAGTTTGGGAACTTTCTTTTGACCTAGCTTTAAGTTTATTGATTCTTTCCTCAGCTGTATTGAGTCTACTAATGAATTCATCAAAGACAGTCTGCATTCATAATACAGTGTTTTTTATTTCTAACATTTCGTTTAGATTCTTTCTTAGAGTTTTCACTTTTTTATTCCATTACCCACTTGATCTTGCATGTTGTCTGCTTTGGTCATCAGAACTTTTAACATATTAATTGTAGTTATTTAAAATTCACTGTCTGATAATTCCAAAATCTGTATTATAGCTAAGCTTGATTATGGTCTTCCTTTGTCTCTAAAGACTGTGGTTTTGTCTTGACTTTTAACTTTTTTTAAAAGCCAAACATGTACCAGGTAAAAGAAACTGAGGTAAGTGGGCTTTTCTTGTGAAGATGTATGATAATTGAAGTTAGGCTCTGCTTAAGGTTTTCTGTAGATATAGTTTCTGGAGGCTTCAAATTCTTATGTCTTTTTTTTTTTTTTGTCTCCCTAGTGACTTTTGGTTTCTCTACATACTTCTCCTTAGAGGAAAATCTTTGTCTTGCTCCTCTTTCTACTGTAATCCATTGATATTATTCTTATTCTGAAGTCCTGTTTGGGTCATTTTCTCCACTCACTATTCTTTTTTAAATTTTGAACACATATTTATATCATAATAAAGTTAATTTTGTCTATCTATAGTTGTCATAATAATTAAATTTGTATAAAGGGCTTAGAATAGATCTTGGCACATAGTTACAACTATGCTAAATTAATAATTGTTTGATTGGAAAAATAAAATAAAGAAAAACATTTACTTGAGAATTCTATGTCATTCTTTGGAATTATATCATTACTTTCATGAATTATATATTTTGCCTCATAAACACTAATTTGCTTATATATTGACTTACCTAAATAGATAAATCAGCCCTCGCCTAAGTACCAACACATCTTAATCCCTGTGTACATATGTAACCATAAAATATGTATAAGTTAGGGAAATTCTAGCTAAACAAATATTGGTCAGCATTTTCCAAAGTATATGCCATTGGCTATTAATAGGTATACTTAAAAAGGATATTATTTATAAGAATAATGATTAAACTAAGAGTGAAAAATTCATGGTTATATGTTTACTAGAGGCCCAGCACACGAAATTCATGCATGGGTACGGTCCCTAGGCCTGGCCTGTGATCAGGGTCATCTTCCCTGGCTGTCGGCAGCTGGCCCCACCCCCCCCACCACCTACCCTCTGGTTGCCCATTCGCCACCGGGCTCTCAGAGCCTGCTGGTGGAGGGGAGGGACCAAGGGTTGGCCGTTCCCACCTGCTTGCTGGCTCCATCCCTCGATGCTGGTCACCCTGTGTGTGGGGGGCAACCAGCGGGGAGGAGGCCTTGGCCTGGCACCCCCTGTGTCTGCCGCCATCCACCCCTGGTTCCCTGTTCCCCATCCAGCGATCGGAGCCTGCTGGCCAGGGGAAGGGACCAAGAGGTTGGCTGGCAGGCCTGGGGCCTGTGGTCTGGGGGAAGTTCCTGCATTAAGCATCTGCCCTCTGGTGGTCAGTGTGCATCATAGCAACTGGTCGTTCCACCGTTCGGTAAATTTGCATATTACCCTTTTATTATATAGCATTATAACATTTTTTATGGTGTATTACTAACCCATAAGAGGAATGTTGCAGACTTCTCTGACCACAGAAACCTTTTACCAAGTATCATCTAGAAGGCAGACTCTTGAATAGAGCAATTTATGGGAAATATTGTTCTAGATTTTCAATTGGTAGCACTTTTACTCCAAACCTTAGTTGAGATATAGGCTGAACCATATGAAATTGCCAACATTGGATCATTTCTGACCAACCAAAAAGAAGTGATTTTACAAGGTTCAAACTGAAAACAATTTAGAACAATTATTTCTAATGAGAAGGAAGATGCAGCATGTGTTTAAAAAAGTCTATTCATGTTAATTTTTATTTGTTTTTATAATAGTTAACTTATTTTGAAATCTTAAATTATACTAAAGAATGGTGCAATTATCTAGTGAAAATACTTTGAACATGCTCAAATAATGTTTTACCTAAGTTACTCTAGAAACAATATAAGGTTGCTTAAAAGGAGACATAATATTCAACAACAACAAAGAAAGCAAAAACAAGAAAACAAGCTTTTTATAATGGTGACCTTGGATTTTTTTTCCTTGCCCAAAGAAGGACAGTTTCAAAATATTGACTGCTATTACTTTGATGTAATTTTAAAGACTTATATGACAATCTTTTTATTTTTTTTTAGACATCAATTTTCACTCCAGCCTTTGAATCAGAAACTAAGGTCAGAATAAACAGTAACATGAACACTGAAGAGGTAATAAAGCAACTTCTTAAAAAATTTAAGGTAATTTTTATCACTGAACTGTTGTATAAATACCTTGTATATAATTTAACAATAGACACATTAATGCTTTTGTCTGAAAAAGACTTAAAAAAAATCTAAAATCACTGTTCAGTTCTGAAGAATTCTTTCCTATGTGTGACACCTTTTATTAATTGTGCCCTGAGAAATTACACTATTCCCAGGGAACAGAGAAGGTTTTATGCTTAAAAATGAAAAATGAAAGTGAGGACATGGGTACATTATTTGGGTCTGATTGGCTTAGAAAACATCATATGGCAACAAATAATTCATGTCTATTTTTTTTCCCACTGACAGATTGAAAACAGCGCCCAGGATTTTGCACTTTACATTATTTTTGCAACAGGAGGTAAAAAAGCTTGATTACCCTTTTTACATGTCTGCTGTGTGATACAGTTTTCTGCCCATAGGGAAGGCAGGAGAGCAGTTTACTCCATTTGTGGAAGAATGGGAGAGAAGAAAGAAAGGAGGGGAGGGTGTTTTAGAGGAACCAAAGATAAGGTATCCTGGAAGAGTTTATAATACAAAAAGTTTGCTTGTTGTCCAAACATTCAATTACCTGAATGGTGATCAGAGCCCTTGAGAATCCATAAAGTTTCCCAGGAACTGTATCAGGAACTATTAAGCATTTAAATCATCATTTCTCTCTATACTCGTTTCTTTTTGGTTTTTCCTTCTCACTGGAGCTCTTACTGGAGTCATCATTACAGATCATTTTTCTCTGATCTTGCTTTTATCTCTTTCTTAGCAGAATGCCTGACATATTGTAGGAGTGTTACTCTTCCTCAGTAGAGAAACATATTCGGAACTTGGCGGCAGCGGGTAAAATGTTAGAACAGTGGTTCCCAAACTTATTTGGCCTACCTCCCCCTTTCCAGAAAAAATATTACTCAGCGCCCTCTGGAAATTAATTTTTTTTAAATTTTATCCTGCATTAAGCATCTGCCCTCTGGTGGTCAGTGTGCATCATAGCAACTGGTCGTTCCACCGTTCGGTAAATTTGCATATTACCCTTTTATTATATAGCATTATAACATTTTTTATGGTGTATTACTAACCCATAAGAGGAATGTTGCAGACTTCTCTGACCACAGAAACCTTTTACCAAGTATCATCTAGAAGGCAGACTCTTGAATAGAGCAATTTATGGGAAATATTGTTCTAGATTTTCAATTGGTAGCACTTTTACTCCAAACCTTAGTTGAGATATAGGCTGAACCATATGAAATTGCCAACATTGGATCATTTCTGACCAACCAAAAAGAAGTGATTTTACAAGGTTCAAACTGAAAACAATTTAGAACAATTATTTCTAATGAGAAGGAAGATGCAGCATGTGTTTAAAAAAGTCTATTCATGTTAATTTTTATTTGTTTTTATAATAGTTAACTTATTTTGAAATCTTAAATTATACTAAAGAATGGTGCAATTATCTAGTGAAAATACTTTGAACATGCTCAAATAATGTTTTACCTAAGTTACTCTAGAAACAATATAAGGTTGCTTAAAAGGAGACATAATATTCAACAACAACAAAGAAAGCAAAAACAAGAAAACAAGCTTTTTATAATGGTGACCTTGGATTTTTTTTCCTTGCCCAAAGAAGGACAGTTTCAAAATATTGACTGCTATTACTTTGATGTAATTTTAAAGACTTATATGACAATCTTTTTATTTTTTTTTAGACATCAATTTTCACTCCAGCCTTTGAATCAGAAACTAAGGTCAGAATAAACAGTAACATGAACACTGAAGAGGTAATAAAGCAACTTCTTAAAAAATTTAAGGTAATTTTTATCACTGAACTGTTGTATAAATACCTTGTATATAATTTAACAATAGACACATTAATGCTTTTGTCTGAAAAAGACTTAAAAAAAATCTAAAATCACTGTTCAGTTCTGAAGAATTCTTTCCTATGTGTGACACCTTTTATTAATTGTGCCCTGAGAAATTACACTATTCCCAGGGAACAGAGAAGGTTTTATGCTTAAAAATGAAAAATGAAAGTGAGGACCTGGGTACATTATTTGGGTCTGATTGGCTTAGAAAACATCATATGGCAACAAATAATTCATGTCTATTTTTTTTCCCACTGACAGATTGAAAACAGCGCCCAGGATTTTGCACTTTACATTATTTTTGCAACAGGAGGTAAAAAAGCTTGATCACCCTTTTTACATGTCTGCTGTGTGATACAGTTTTCTGCCCATAGGGAAGGCAGGAGAGCAGTTTACTCCATTTGTGGAAGAATGGGAGAGAAGAAAGAAAGGGGGGGAGGGTGTTTTAGAGGAACCAAAGATAAGGTATCCTGGAAGAGTTTATAATACAAAAAGTTTGCTTGTTGTCCAAACATTCAATTACCTGAATGGTGATCAGAGCCCTTGAGAATCCATAAAGTTTCCCAGGAACTGTATCAGGAACTATTAAGCATTTAAGTCATCGTTTCTCTCTATACTCGTTTCTTTTTGGTTTTTCCTTCTCACTGGAGCTCTTACTGGAGTCATCATTACAGATCATTTTTCTCTGATCTTGCTTTTATCTCTTTCTTAGCAGAATGCCTGACATATTGTAGGAGTGTTACTCTTCCTCAGTAGAGAAACATATTCGGAACTTGGCGGCAGCGGGTAAAATGTTAGAACAGTGGTTCCCAAACTTATTTGGCCTACCTCCCCCTTTCCAGAAAAAATATTACTCAGCGCCCTCTGGAAATTAATTTTTTTTAAATTTTAATAGCAATTAAACAGAAAGATATATGTATTAATGTTTCTACCTTTTTCGTAAAATATAGTAAAGAAAGGTGTAAATTAGAAACATTGAAGTTTGAAATTATGAAACTATTTATTGAACTCAGAATAGAAAGGTAATACAAAAAAAGTTAAAACAAATGCACCTGTGGCCATCACCGCCCCCCTGGATCGCTGCAGCGCCCACCAGGGGGCGGTAGCGCCCACTTTGGGAATCACTGTGTTAGAACCAGGGCATTGGGAAGGTGCGATGCATGGGATGCTAGGAGCAGCAAGTGAGAAATTAGAGAAAACCCAAGGTGATACTCAAATTTTTGAAAACCTCAAAATTGAAAAAATTGAAATGTTGTATCCCAGGTTATAATTTAGGTGTCAGAATGTCTAAGCCAGAAATAAATAAAATAACACATTTTGATGTCAGAATAACTATAAGAAAATTAAAGCTGGCTCTCAAACATATTAAAAAATTAAAAGCTTAAATATAAGAAATATATATAAATTTTAAAAAAATTCTAAGGATATATATATATTTGTATTCTAGTTTAAGAAAAACATTGAAAGGTTTAAAAAGGTAGAAACATGTAAAATATATAAGCAGTAACTTATGAAGAATATGAGAAAAAAAAAGATTAGTACCTAAAATATCAAAGAGTTCTTGTAACCAATTCAATAAAAATAGAAAGAAGTGTGATAAAGCAATTCAAAGAATAAAAAATTAAAATGACCAGTAAAGATTTTTAGGAAAAGTCTTAAACTCAAGGAAATACAAATATTCAAGGAAATTCAGTAGTCAAGGAAATGCAAGTTCAATCCACAATGCAATATTATCTCACACATCAGATTGGCAAAAATGTTTTTAAATGATTCTATCTCTGGCTAGTGTAGATCAAAGTAAAGGATACTTTCATGCAATTCTGGTAAAAATATGACTGTCTGTGCTTTTTCAGAGCTCATCATAGAAGTACTTATTAAAATTTATAGTATACATATGTATTACTTCTCCCAGCAATCCCACTGGTGAGAATTTATTTCACAAAAATAAAAACACTAATATATACAGATTTATGTGCAACACTGTTTATAATAACAAAAGGCTAAAGATAAAATGACTTATCATAGTAATGATTAAATAAGTGATTATTATTATTCAGACATTAAATGAAATGAGTTAGATTTATACAATCTGAATGGAGGAAATTCTATAATATACATTAAATGAAAAATGCAAAATGCCTTAAAAATTTATACCTACAACCCCAGTTTTGTAAAAGAATTATACATTCCTATTTAAGTATGTGCTATATATGATCATATAATCAGGGAGAAATGTATGGAATTATAAATACCATGATTTTTTGAAAAAGATGTCTACAATAAAAATTGCAAGCATATTACCATCTTTATGTGTTGTATATTTGTGAGCATAAAGAGATATATGAAGGGATGGTCATTCAAATTGTAATGCTAATTATCTCACAGTTCTGGGATTCCAGGTGATTTTTACTTTCTGTCTTATACTTCTCCCCATAGTTTCAATTACATTAATGTGTGTATGTGTGTGTATTTGTGTGTTTTGACTTTGTTGAAGAATAATTGAGAATAATTGATGACTATAATTGTATATATTTGAAGTGTACAACATAATGATTTGATACTTATATACATTATGGAATGATCACCAATATCAAGATAATTAACACATCCATCACTTCATATAAACTATGTTTTGTGTGTGTTAAGAATACTTCATATCTACTCTCAGCAACTTCCAAGTGCACAATACCATATTATTAACTACTAGAGGCCTGGTGCACAAAATTCATGCACTTGTGGGGGGCGGGGAATCCCCCTCAGCCCGGCCTACACCCTCTCACAGTCCGGGAGCCGGGGGGAATCCCTCAGCCCTCTCACAGTCCGAGAGCCCTCGGGGGATGTACGACTGATGGCTTATCTCATTATCATGCCTGAATGGATGAAGCCTACAGATGAATGAAATAATAAAAATACCCCAATATAAAAATATTCTGAATATATTTTTAAAGAAGAGCCAAGGATTGCATGTGGAGTAAGAGAGAAAGGAAGAATTGAAGATAATTATAAAGTACTGGATCTGAATAACTAGAAAGATGGTTTTTTGTTCAACAAAATAGGGAAGAATCAATAAACATTTGTTGAATAAATGAATGAGTGAATGAATGAATGAATGAAAAATTATAAAGAATTTTTGCAGTGTGTTGCTTGACAAAAGTCATAAATGGATCTGGAGATTGTTCTGAACATCCTAACCAAAGGCAAGATTGAATTCTCTGAGTCAAACTCGGAGGAATAACAGGAGAAAAAAGTCCACTTTTAGTTTATTTCAAGGTTTTAATTTCAATGTAACTCTTTTGAGTGAGTGCCTCCTATTATACATGGATTTTTTTTAGGTCTTCTTTCAAAGCGAGCTAAAGAAAGAAAATGAATAGCCAAATTACCTTCTTTTCCCCTAGTATGGACTCTTGACTACAGTTGGCTATTGTTTTCATTTGCAGAAAGGAGACGGCTAAAGAAGACAGACATTCCACTACTGCACAGGCTCCTGCAGGGACCCTCCAAAAAGAACGCCCGCATTTTCCTCATGGATAAAGATACAGAAGAAATTAGCAGTGATGTATGAGTACCACCACCCTGAGTTTGTCTTTGCCTCCTCCTGACTGGGCCCCTCTCACATACATATTCTGCTTTCCTTTTTGTGTGTTTTATTTTCAGGTGGCTCAATACATTAACTTTCATTTTTCTCTCCTGGAATCCATCCTTCAGAGATTAAATGAAGAAGAGAAAAGAGAGATTCAAAGAATAATAACAAAGTAAGTCAAAAGCATGCATGCTGGGGTGCTTGTTCCTTTAATAAGTTCAATGTGCTAAATGTGTCCAAATTTTAATACTCTTTTTCTCCTTTTCATTTTCAGATTCAGTACAGAAAAGGCTATTATACTGAAATGTCTTCAAAGTAAACAGGTAGTAAAAACAGAGACGACAGTTTAGTGGCCGCTATTGCTAAAACACTTCAACAAAATCAGAGAGATGTTACTATTTAATGAGTGTATCCACCCTATACTTGCAGTCATGCAAATATATATGAACTCAAATTTGTAGAAAATTGAATGTTGAAAAAGCTTGTCTCTCTCAGAGGTGATGATGTTCACAGTGGGACTGAAATGAGCTTGAATTTAGTTTCAGTAGCTGAAATAAGCTTGGATACTGTGTATTCCAAATAGCTTTAAGAGAGAAACAATGAACTGGAATTTAAATGGCGTCTTCAACTTCACGTAGTTTAAATGCCATTTAGCTTGAACTGTCAAGAGAACTGGAATATCAACAACCAACTCTCAGAAATGATTCAGAAGTCAAAGCTGCCAGCTCATGAAATAAAAGAGAAGCATATACTTACCCCCATCAAGAAATCTGATGGTGATAGTCTTATAGCTCCTTGAAAACTCTAATATTTTCATAAAATCTAGGGCTGTCTTTATGTGGGTAGGTGACTTTTGGCAACCTGAAGCATCAGAGCTATAAATCCTTTGGGAAGGAAAGGATTGTGGACTCTTAAGACTAATTTTCTCAACCTGAGCCCCCTTTTTTGCTGTTTTACTGATGACTTTCTTAAGGATGTTTTTAGGTCAATTGAACTAGTTTTCTTTATTTTTCCAAACATATAAACCACAGAGACTTCACATGGTTAATGAGCTTGGCCAAGACTTGGCCCACAGTAACCATTGTTACTGAATGAAATAGAGATACAAAGGGATATGCAAAGCTCTAATAGCTGAATCTAGGAAAGGAATCTGGAGTTCTGCTCTTTTTCTCTAAGGCATCTCATTCTATAAAACAGTGCTCACGGTATTTACAAGTTGCTAAACCAATTTGGAAAAAAACACAAAACACTGAGAATGGCACAGTCTCATCGGTGTTTTTATTTATGAACTTTATATTAAAATGGAGTTCTATGCAGCTTTTTTTCCATTCTGGAAATTACTTCCATTTGCATTTCTCATATCCATTGTATTAAATTGTTTGGGTTGCGAGCTTGATCCCCAGTAGGGGACGTGCAGGAGGCAGCCGATCAATGATTCTCTCATCATTGATGTTTCTATTTCTCTCTACCTCTCCCTTCCTCTCTGAAATCAATAAAAATATTTTTAAATAAATAAACTTAAAGTACCATCAAGTACCTGTCATAAATATGACAAAAGATTTACCTTTAATATATTGAAAGTTTACAGAATCCATAAGAAAAATACTCAAAGTGTCAGATAGAAAAAAAAAAGGCAGATGAGATGTAAAGTAAAATCACAGAAGAGGAAATGCAAATGGCTACTAAGTATATGAAAAAGTTGTATCTTAACATAATCCATTAGTCTGTGTCCAATCAGCAGACAGAAACCACACAGTCATTTAAACGGGGGTGTTTAGTATAAAGAATTATTAAGCTGTGATAGGAGAATAACTAAAAGATGGAAAGAGGATGCTAAAGGGTTGCCTATGGCTGAGGAAGAGTGCTCCAAAAAGGAAACAAGGGATTCAGAATTCACTGGAGAAGGTGTGGTTGCAGCCCACTCGCTGGAGGAGAAGTTGGCTGGGTGCCCACACCAAGCAGGGCCACAGCCACAGGGCAAGCAGGAAAACAACCTCTGGGAGGTGGACCAGCTGGGGCAGGTGGGCAGGTGTGCAGAGAGACCTGGGACTTCGCTGCAGGGCCAAGGCTCAGATCACATAGGGTCTGTGTCTGGAGGTCCCCAGGAAATGGTTGCAGTGGTTCTCAACCTTCCTAATGCCTCGACCCTTTAATACAGTTCCTCATGTTGTGGTGACCCCCAATTTCATTGTTACAAATTGAACATAATTAAAGCATAGTGATTAATCACAAAAACAATATGTGTTTTCCGATGGTCTTAGGCGACCCCTGTGAAAGGGTCGTTCGACCTCCAAAGGGTCGCGACCCACAGGTTGAGAACCGCTGGTTTAGAGGAACAGGTAAGCCGAGGCTGCAGGGTCGGCACAGAGAGTCAGGGACGCTGCTAGGACTGGGAGCCGGAAGGGCCTCCTTTGAAGAAACCTAGGACAACTCTGTGTATGATTTGGTTCTGTGGCACCTTTAAGGCTGCATGGGATAAAGGCCAGGCAAGTGGCTCACCAGATGGCCAGCCCACAGGGCCCTCTCAGGGAACATGCACCATGTTGAGAAGGTGCAGAGAGCAATGATGTGAGTAGGGCACAGGCCTGCCCTGGGGCTCCAGGTTATGCCACCACAAACCCAATCAAAAACTGGGAAAGCAGTGGGGGAAATAAATGCTACAGAAAGCTGCAAGCCACCGGCAACCAGCACTGGGCAGAGCAGTGGAGAAAAAAGTCGGCCACCCAGCCAGCCACTAGGAATCAGGAAAGACAGACTTCCTCCTACGGTGCTTCTCCAGTGCCCTCTGCTGGCAAAGCATGGCATCCAAGCTTCGAAGAAAACATATTTAAAGGGTCCGTATCCATTTCACAAAGCTGACAGCAAAGAATGAATTTGGAACAGAGAGGCAAAAAATAACTGGCATGTCAACAAAATACAAATTAAAGAAAAGTAAAATATACTTTTTGGCCTATTAAATCAGTAAAGATTAAGAAGGGACAATATTAAATACTCAACAAATTACAATGAGATGGACGCTCAAACTACTGTAGCAATACAAATGTATATAACTAGAAAGCAATTAAGCTATAATTTCATATTATAATTCTATTTATAGAATCTTATATTGAAATAATCAGTCATACAAAGACATTATGCAAATATATTTACTATATTCCTATTTATTGTCAAAAAAAATAACAAATAGCCTAAATGTCAAATATAGAAGAAAGATGAAAGAAGGAAAGAAATACTTCTCCTTAGAATGTTATGCAGCTATTAGAATTGTTCCCAAATGAATTTTAATTATAGGAGTAAATTCTCCTTATGTACCTAAATAAGACTATACACACAAATATTCTAAAACATTTACTATCCATAAAATATGTGTTTATATGTGTGTGAACACTGGTATTTGTACATACAACTCAAACTGAAGACATGTTCAATGTGGTTATGTCTGGATTATAGAATTATCGATGATTCATTTTTTAAAAATTTTCTCTGCTTATTAAATATTTTATAATGAACATGTGTTACTTTTTAAATCAGGAAATGCAAAAGCTGTGATTAAAAAGTTACCAACAAAAAATAGCAAGTACAGGCAAACAGTTCTACTACATGCAAAAAAGTTCAACTAAATTATTTGAGGCATTAACATCACTTCTGTGGTAGTTGGAAAATATATCCACAGTGTCTTTGTACTCCCTGTTTCCGGAGTATAGCCTAATCTTCCTCACCTTACAAATGGATTGGACTTAGTGACTCAATTCCAATGAATAGAGGAAAGCAGAAGTGACAGCATGTAACTTTGGAGACTAGGTCATCAAGTCACTGTGGCATCTTCCTTGCTCACTTCATGGACCACTGGCTCTGGAAGAAGCCAACTGCCATGTTCAGAGCAGCCTTGGGGAAAGGCTTACATGAGGAGAACAGAGACCTTTTGCCAAAAGCCAACAACGAATTGGGGCCTTTCATCCATAGCCATATGCGTGGGCCATGAGATAGCCTTAGTCAAGCCTTCAGATGATTACATCCCTGTCTAATAGCTATAACCTCCTGAGAGACCCTGGCCCAGAAAACTCTGCTAAACCTTCCCTGGATTCCTGAGCCTCAGAAACTGTGTGAAATAAGAAATATGTGTTGTAGTATGCTGCTAAATTTTATACTAATTTGTTATATCACAATAGATAACTAATACAATTTCTAAGGCCAAAAATCTGTTCACTTTAGAGTCATCTTTGCAAAATAAAAGAATATAAATTTTTGTCACAAAACCATTTATCCTTGTCTTAATGGTCTTATTTCACCACCAGTTATACAATAGTTCAGATTTAATTCCAGATATTATACTTATTAATGATAGAGGACCTGTCTTTGGATACCTTGCTGTACTTAATGATATGTCTTGTATATAGAATGTGCTCAATAAAAATCAACTGAATAAAGGCTGGAGTGAATTAGTGAAGAGGTAAATAAATTATTTGAAATATTTTTATAAAATCCCCTGTATGTATGCCTCCTTTTTCACAAATATGATCCAGCTGCTGACGAAGTACAAACAGAGCCTTTTCTATATGATTTCCCCAGATATGATGGTATAGTTTATTATCTCTTGGCTGTGTGAAGTATTCAGATATTTCAGTGTTACTATTCCCTGTAACTGTGGCATCTTGTTAGAGCTATTCAGATTGGTTTCAGAAACTGAAGGGGCCAAAGTCCATTAGCAAGGCAGTTGATGAGGTGGAAAAGCTGGCAGGTGTACTATTATGTTGGTATACCTACACATGAAAGAAAAAAAGGAATAGGCATGTATTTGTCTTCTAAATTAATAATAATAGCTAGAACCTATTAGATTGAGCCATTTTGTCAATATTTGACCTACAAAAGCAGCAATTCATATTGTTCAATAGCACTTACCATTTGCGAAGCACTATTTTAAATCATATATATATATATATATACTTATTTAATGTTCATTAAGTCTCATGAGGAAATTACTCCTTCAACCCAATTTTATAGATGAAGAAAAGAAGCCACGAAGAGGTTAGGAAGCTAGGTAGACATCAAATCTATGGCTTCAGAATCCACACTTTTAAACCACCTCAGGCTGTGGCTTCACCCTAAATCACACTCCCTCAATCTGGCATCCTTTATGTGTCCTCATTTGTAAAATGGGAATGATAGTATCTACTTCATGAGATGGTTGTAGGAGTTATAAGAATGATACATGTAATAATATGATCAAAATACATGGGTGGTTGGCACTTTGCACAGAAGTGTGTGATATCAGCTGTTATAATTAAACTATGATATGTTCCCTCCCATCATTGTAGCCCTATCTTCCACTAAATCTTATGCCCACTACTTCATTCTTGTCTTAAAACTAGTCAAATTATTGCTTGAAACACCTCACACTCTACCACATCTCTCTCTGTTGAAACTATGCCCATTTTCTAGTCCTTAACCATGACCTTTCCTGGTCTCCGTGACAATGTGTGCATCAATACTCCTGTGCCTCATATCATCAATTAGCTGTGCTCTGATTTCTGATACCAGAAATTTGAAACGTCCCCTTTATTGTAATTCCTTATGTGTTTATATCTTGTATGAATTCATTAGTGATCTCCCTTATCATATTCATGTTATTCTCTGCAGCACCTAGCACAGCATATTGAACATCAGAGTTACTTAACAAATGTTTATTGGGTTTAACTTGCTAGTGTCTATAAGTATGTTGAAATCACTAGAGTGAGAAAACTATTTAGAATCAAGTAAAGAGCACTATAATGAAAACTACATTTTTTCTCTAGTAGAAATAATTCACTTATTTAGTAAGCACTAAAATATTTCAACTTATTTTTTTTCTTACAATAAGAGATCTGGGAAAGTTAAAAAGTCCATGATAAGTTCTTTATGTCACTTATGCCAGGATTTCTGGGGAAAAGACTATTATACATTGTCACTGAAAGCTCAATTTAATTTAAATATAGTAGGACCCGTAGGTTCCAATGCCAGCATCATGTATATAGCGTAAAGATGGAAGACAAAATAATTATGAAAGTAACTTTATTACAAAGCACACCTCATTCAGTTCTTTGATGATCACTTTTAGAAGGTGGTATAGACAGAAGCTCCAGTTGCATGTGGGATATTTTTTACTCAAAAAGCCAGCAGCCAGTTTCCAGTGGATGCGGCAGCCCATTCCATCTACCCGAGGCTCTTCACAGATGCCTTGACTTCCTATTTCTGTTGCTGATTCTAAGAAGCAGAAAGATTATGGGGGGAATGGAGAATGAAAGTGGGTTGTACAATAAGCAGATTTCTCTGCTGAGTAGGAAAGGAGAATTCAGTGTAGACTGGCTAGAGTTCTTGAGCGATGTTGTGAGTAGCTGAAAAATAATTGCTGGTTTGAATATTAGACACGGGTTTCATTATTCATGAAGAACAAAATGCAGACCTCAGCAATCATCCTACACTGACATTTCTGGAATCATTTAGCCTCCCAAGAGAGACTGGCACTTTTCTATCAGTTTGGACTCCTAAGGAAAAAAGGAAATAAGCACATCTGTGAGAGAGGGAAAAACAAACAAACAAAAACTTTTAAACAGCTCTGACCCCCATATAGAACACCTTTAAGGCTTCCCTGTTCCATTCCTGAGATGGGCTCTGAGTGCCTGCTTCTCGCAGTCTTAGAATTTCCCACAGGCCCAGTCCCTTAGCTTAAGGATTTAATTAACTGCAATGTTTCTCCCACTTTCAGGACCCCAGACCTGTAATAAATAAAAATTTGCTGCCTCCTCACAAAAAAAATATGGGATGCTTTTGCTGCAAGGCAAACATGGACAATCAACCTCAGCTTCTCACTGAATTTTAAAACTGCTCTAGGCTAATTTTGAGCTAAATCATCACATAGCCAAGTACAAGAACTCAAGAGGAACAAAACCCCTAAAATAGATCAGAATATCTCTACCCCCCTTCATATATACTGCTATAGACCGCTACATAAATTTCAGCAGTTTTCCACAATTTTTACCTTCTAGATGTTTTTTAAACAAAAATTACTTGTGATAAATAAAAGTGAGATTTTTAGCTCTGACCAGTTTGGCTCAGTGGATAGAGCATCGGCCGGAACTCAAGAGGAACAAAACTCCTAAAATAGATCAGAATATCTCTACCCCCTTCATATATACTGCTATAGACCTCTACATAAATTTCAGCAGTTTCCCACAATTTTTACCTTCTAGATGTTTTTCAAACAAAAATTACTTGTGGTAAATAAAAGTGAGATTTTTAGCCCTGACCAGTTTGGCTCAGTGGATAGAGCGTACGCCTGTGGACTGAGGGGTCCCAGGTTCAATTTTGGTCTAGGCCCTAGGGCATGTACCTTGGTTGCAGGCACATCCCCAATAGGGGGTGTGCAGGAGGCAGCTGATCGATGTTTCTCTCTCATCGATGTTTCTAACTCTCTATCCCTCCCTCTTCCTCTCTGTAAAAAAATCAATTAAAAAAAAGTGAGGTTTTTAGCAAAGTGGGATGGGACCCCCAGAACTCTACTGCTAAGATACACACACACACACACACACACACACACACACATATTAAATGACTTACACTCCTAAGAGCCCCTAGGATCCTGTGGAAAATATTAGAAGTCTATTCATTTAGTCCTCCTTCCTGCCCTCAAATAGCACCACACTTGAGTTATCTAGAGAGATTGGAATCTATTCAGGCTCATTTTTAAAAATACCTCTGGGGTTAAAGTATGGTCATTTCTTTGGTAAGCCATGACTTTTATATCAATCTTCATAAGAACTTTGCTATAAGCAACCTCAAGATTCTCATATTTAATCTTGTTCATTTTCTCTGAATCTAACAATATTGGGAGAACTCATATTTCTACATATCAGTCTTTCCTGGCCTTACTTATTCCATAGTTTCTTATTTGTTATGATAACAAATGCTGGGGAAGGAGGGAAGAATTTTTTGGTAAAGATAAGGAAGAAGGGAGGCTCTGGAAAAGATTACCATAATAATGAAGAATGCCCTGAATGAGATCAGAAGTGATAATTTCACATTTTGAGATAAGGCCCAAGCAAGATTTTGAAATACAAAATATGGACTTCTCTGATGGAATGTAGATAAAAGAGAAGAGAAAGAGAAAACATCTTTCTTACCCTGAGACCAAATCAGCCATTCTTTGATTTCCCATAATGCTGGACACATTGGGAGACTGCTAGCATGTCACCCTTCCTAAGATTTTGGGATAAACATTACCAGTTTATTTCTCCATATCCTTTGGGACATACAAAGGATATGGAGAAATCCTTTTTTCCAATCTGGAAACTCTTTGGACATAATTTGCCAATATACTTTTAATATGTGTTGTCTCTCATCTTTCCCAAAATTACAATTCAGTAACAGTAAAAATGTACTATTTTTTTTAAAGAATGAATCCCACATCAATATAAGTTCATCATCATTGATGAACTTCTGGGAAACCAAAGGAAAGCCTTTGGTATGATATTAACTGATATACCAAAGTGTAGAAATAGGAGCTCAGGATAGGAGCTCAGAATAGTGAAGAGGTGTACCAGCACTAGAAGACCAGAGAGTCATTGATTCTGAGCTCCTTTGGCTCTTGTCTGTTGCCTAGCCTATTTTTTAAACTTCCTAAAGATTCCTGAAGCCACCGCTATCCTTTCAATAAATTAATTTTTACTTAGGTTAGCTACAATTTGATCCTATTATTTACAACTAAAGAATCCCAACTGACATAGCATCAAAAATGCTGTGCAAATATATGGATAAAATAATATTTAAAAATATGAGGACCCAGAAAGCTGATCTCCCTTGTGACCATTTGAAAAAATATGTACAGCCCAGCCGGTATGGCTCAATGGTTGAGCATTGACTTATGAACTTGGAGGTCACAGTTTGATTCCTGGTCAGGGCACATGCCAAGGTGGTGGGCTTTGTCTCCAGTGGAGGGCATGCAGGATGCAGCCCATCAATGATTCTCTTTCATCATTGATGTTTCTATCTCTCTCCCTCTCCCTGGTCCTCAGAAATCAATAAAAAAAAAATTTAAAGAAAGAAAAAATACATACAGAAATAAACTTGACCAAACTTTAGAGATGATGCATAGTTAACTATAATAAACATTTTAAAAGTATTCTAACAAATTTTAATTAACATAATATATTTTTTAGATAACTTTTATTATCTCCTTTAGTTTGGGAAGAAACCCTAAAAGAAAATAGAAGAGGAAGGGGAGAGAAAGGAAAAATATTTGGGCTCTTCAACCATTTGGTTGAAGATTACTATTAGGCAAAAAGTGTAGGGAAAAGCACACAAAAATCTTGCTGTCATGCTAATGATGAAATAGATGGAGCAAATACATACAAAAGTAAACTTGACCAAACTTTAGAGATGATGCATAGTTACCTATAATAAACATTTTAGAAGTAATTCTAACAAATTTTAATTAACATAATATTTTTTAGATAATTTCTATTATCTCCTTTAGTTTGGGAAGAAACACTAAAAGAAAATAGAAGAGGAAGGGGAGGGAAATAAAAAATATTTGGGCTCTTCAACTATTTGGTTGAAAATTACTATTAGACAAAAAAGTGTGGGGAAAAGCACACAAAGATCTTGCTGTCATGCTAATGATGAAATAGATGGAGCAAGCACAATTCATACTCAAGAGCAGGAAAACTTTCTTGGGAATGCCCAGGCACATGCCCTTCTGCAAAAGTGTTTATTTGTTGTTACTCAGGTAGAGACATGTTTTCTGAATACTTCACAAAAAAGTAAAGAGGCTTTAAAATAACTAAATAAGTTCTAGTATAGGTGATTATTTTCATTTTGTCTATCGGCTAGTCTGGGGGTCAGCAAATTTTTTTCTGTAAACAGCCAGATAGTAAATATGGAGGGTTTTGCAGTTACTACACAGTTTCTGATACAACTTAATTCTGCAACTACTCAATTCTATTATTGTAGACAGAAAGCAGTGGTAGACATTATGTAAATAAATGGGCATGCCATGTCCCAATACAACTGTATTTACATAAACAGGAAGTAGAACCAGTTTAGCCTGAGAGCTGTAATTTGCCTACTCTTTACTTGACTATAGATATATGACTTTTAATATAACACACATAATATAGCTGAATAGGTAGAAAAGAGCTACTGAAGGTAACTAGGCATTCATGAAAATTGCTACCTATAAAAACATTTTCATGGGCCATTGCTAAACTTAGCCCCAGTCCTAACCAGCCTCAGCTGGTTTGACAGTTTTGACTGTAAAGGCTGCTTTATTGTGATTTTTTAGCTTTATCCTTGAATTTTTCTGCTTAGATACTATTAGCTACTGTATCCGAGTTTCTGCTCCTCAAGTCATGTCCCTGGAAGAGCAGTCCATCCCAACTCATCTCTATTAATTTACATGAATATTCTGTGCGACCATGAAATTTAAGTCACACAACTTTATCATCTTACAAAAATTCATTTACTTGTTAACTATATGCAACTACATTAATTACTGAAAACAGACCCCTGGTAGGCAGTTCAGTGTGTGTGCACAGAGAGATACTCTGTTCTGGCATTTGTTCTTTCTCTTTTCTCCAATCCCTAATCTAGTGATCTGCCTACTGAGAAAATAAAATCTTTATGTTTCCTAGTTAAACCCCAAATTACATTTGGTGACTCTTCCTGATTGTGCCCTTGAAAATTTCTAGAACAAAACTACAGTTTGCTCAGACAGATCTTTAAACTGTTATTTCTTTAAAATTTCTCTATATTTCCAAGGACTCCATTTCTCTACAATTACCGAAGTCTTCAATTCACCTTCTTCTGCTCACTTCCAATCCTAAACACCCCCAGTACATCTGGTGACATGACCCTTGTATTCATCTCTAATCATGTTTAACACTCCTAGTTTCCTCAAATAAATATAAATATTAACATGTCCTAAGATATCCTAAACCCAATTACACCAGTCGATCTAGATCAGCCATTTTCAACCTGTGTGCCGCAGAATTTTTAAAACATGTGATACCTGACTAGTCAGTCATGGGCATTGACCTCTTTTCCCTTTCAGTGGTTCTCAACCTTCTGGCCCTTTAAATACAGTTCCTCATGTTGTGACCCAACCATAAAATTATTTTCGTTGCTACTTCATAACTGTAATGTTGCTACTGTTATGAATTGTAGTGTAAATATCTGATATGCAGGATGGTCTTAGGCGACCCCTGTGAAAGGGTCGTTCGACCGCCAAAGGGGTCGCGACCCACAGGTTGAGAACCGCTGCAGATTATCAAATTAAAAAATGATAATAGCCAAAACAACAATGGCTGCTGATGTGAATACCCTGTCTCTCTTTTTTAAAATATATTTTTATTGATTTCAGAGAGGAAGGGAGAGGTAGAGAGATAGAAACATAAATGATGAGAGAGAATCATTGCATGCCCCCTACTGGGGACTAAGCCCACAACCCAGGCATTAAACAGTGACCTCCGGCCTCAAAGGTCAATGCTCAATCACTGAGCCACTCTGGTCAGGCATGAATGCCCTGTCTTGAACCATAAATAGATAGGTCATATAATAGAGTTGCATCTTATTGGTCATGTTGCATAATAAGGTTGTGTCTGAGTGGTTAATTCTTTGGACCAGAAATTCTTATATACAAGTATAGGCAACTGCTTTTTTAAAAAAGTCACCTTAGAGCAAAAAAGGCTAAGTAATTACTATTATTTTCTCATAAATTAATCAAAATTATACCTGTTTTTGGTCACATATGCAAAAAGTATATTTTTTGATATGCTGCAGAATTTTAGTAATACTTTATATGTGCCATGAGATGAAAAAGGTTGAAAATTGCTGATCTAGACTGTGATTTTTTTCCTAATCCACTACAGATTGGAATGGAGAAAAGAGGGATTTTTTTTTAACTTTAATAAGTCCTAAGAGTGCTAAGAGAATAGACAAGGAAACAGGAATACCTCTTCTTGGAAACATGTTTCACGTTTTTCTGCTTGGCAGCACATCTTCACCAGCTGAGTAAAATCCACAATAATTGGTTGGAACTGCATCTCTGTTGCATATGGTCTCTGCTTCACAAGGTTGCTGAGGAGCCTGAATCAGAAATGAGTTGTAAAAAACGAAAGCATCCCTGATTTCTACACGAATAAACTCAAAATAGAGTAAAGGTTTAGAAAAAAAAGTCTTAGAAAAAAACATAGGCAGTAAAATCTCTGACATCTCTCTTAGCAATATTATTTCTGACATCTCCTCAGGCAAGGGGAAAGTAAATAAATAAATAAATAAATAAGATGATAACGAACTGAAAAGTTTTTGCACAACAAAGGAAAGCATAAAAGAAAGAAAAGATAATCTACTAATTGGAAGAAAACATTTTCTAATGACACATCCAATAAGGGTGTTAATAATCCAAAATTTAGAAAACTCAGACAACTCAACACCAAAATAACAAACAATACAATTAAAAAGTGGACTTGACATTTTCCTAAAAAGGACATACAGATGAATAGATATATGAAAAGATGCTCAACATCACTAATCATCAGAGACATGCAAATTAAAATCGCAATGGGATATCACCTCACACTGGTCAGAATGACTATCATCAGTAAATCAACAAACAAGTATTGGTGAGAATGTAGAGAAAAGGGAACCCTGATACTCTTTTGGTGGGAATTCAAATTGGTGCAGCCACTGTGGAAAATAGTATGGAGTTTTTCCTCAAAAAAATAAAAAAATGGAACTGCCTTATGACCCAGCAATTCCATTTCTGGGTATATTTCCAAAGAAATCCAAGCCACTAATTTGAAAAAATATATGTTCATTGCAGCATTATTTACAACAGTCAAGCTAGGAAGAAACCCACATGCCCATCATTAGACTCGATAAAAAACAGTGATACATATATACAAGGAATATTAGTCATAAAAAAGAATGAAATCTTACCACTTGTGACAGCATGGATTGACCTGGAGGGTATTATGTTAAGTGAAATAAGACAGAGAAAGGCAAATACCATATGATTTTATTTCTATGCGGAATCTAAAGAACAAAACAAACAAATAAAATTGAAACACTCATAGACACAGAGAGCAGACTTGTGGTTGCCAGAGGGGAGAGTTTTGGGAGACTAAGTGAAAGACGTGAAGGGATTAAGAAGTACAAATTGTTAGCTGCAAACTAGCCATGGGGATGTAAAGTACAGCATAGGGAATATAGTCAATAATATTATAATAACTATGTATGGTGCCAGGTGGGTACTGGAAATATTGGGGGGAACACTTTGTAAATTAAATTATTATCTAACCACTATACCATACATCTGAAAGAAAGAAATGATACAAGCTTTTAAACTAAAGAATTATCATAAGTATAATTTTATAGACTAATAAAGGAATCTATGTACTATGGGAAAAATAAAATAAAATAAAGTCACAAGCCAAACATTCAAGAACTCAAATTTTCTATGGGCACTAAATAATTAAAATGCCTTATTGTCTTTAAAAAAGAAGAAGAAGAAGGCAGAGGACTGGGAACAAGACTCAGAGCAGGGGTATCAGGATGTCATGCTAGCTCTCTTCAGCATTACAGATATAAGGCCGCCATTTCTATAGCTGGGACTCTGTGCCACATGGAAGCTAGACCCCACAAACAACTATGTCACATACTTGTCATAAACTTGCAGTTGACTTACCTCTCCTGCCCTTTTCAACCCTTCCCCACTATGATCGATTTCTCTCAATCCAACAGCTTTTATTTAAAAATATTTCCTTTAATCCTTTCTATTCTTTTAGTTTAAAAATGTTTAATTTACCTTTTTATATATTACTAGAGGCCCGGTACTTGAAAATCGCTCAGTCCAGCCTGCGCCCTCTCACAGTCTGGGAGCCCTCACTCCTTACCGCCCGCCTGCTCGTTGCTTCTTACTGCTTGGATCACTGCTCCTTAGCATTGCCTCAAAGGCAGGAGAGGCTCCTGCCACCTCGCCAGCCATGAGCCCAGCTTCTGGCTGAGCAGCGCTCCCCCTGTGGGAGCGCACTGACCATCAGGGGACAGCTCCTGCATTGCAGTCTGCCCCCTGGTGGTCAGTGCTCGTCATAGCAACCGGTCATTTAGGATTTTATTATATAGGATATTTTATTTTTAATTTTCAATGCCATCAACTTCTTTTCAGTTTTTCATTTCTAGTGTATTAATTATTTATTTTCACCAAATTTATGCACCATTTGATATACTGTCTTTATACACTGTCTTAAATCTTCACATTTCAACTCAATAAAGTCACAAGCCAAACATTTCATAATTGGACTTGAAATTCTTTTTCACCTTGACATTTTCCTAAAAATGTTTTATTTTCTCAATCTTAGTCCTAGATTTCAACTTCTACTTTCCCTTTATTATCCTGCTGAAGATTTTCTTTTCCCTCCATGAGCCCCTTCCCTTGTTTTTTGTTTGTTCGTTCGTTTGTTGTAGTGTGTGTGTGTGTGTGTGTGTGTGTGTGTGTGTGTGTCTGTGTGTATTTATGCTTTGATGACCAGCCAGAATTATATAAGAATGAAACCATGGAGAGAGCCCTTGACACTATACTGGGAAGTGGGAGGGATTTTTCCAGCCTGGGCTTTGACTCCCAATGTGGATCTACCCAGGATGGTTCAGAAATGCCCATAATAACTGTCTCTATGTTAATTGTACAGAGAACACAATGAATTCCCTGGAATAAGGATGTTTCCTAATACTTCACACTTCTTATCTAGCCCTTATATGAAGAGTTCCATGTTTTACACATAATAACCAGTATTATAACCCTTTGGTTAGGGCACACTCACAGCTAGATGTTGGCAGGTAAGCACATATTCTTTGACCCAGCCTGCTTGGGTGCAAATTCCAGCTCAGCAACCTAGTTACCTTTGCAGGACCTCCTATCAGGTCTTACTTTTACAGCTTTAGTTTCCTCATAATTATAATGAAGTCACAACATTACATAGCTCATACATTTTGTGTTAAGAATTTAGTGAGATGACATACATAAAGTGGTGCCTTTCTATGCCCAGAGAACTTCCTCAAGAGAAAGCAAAGCCTGCACTCTAGAACTAAAACAGACTTCTTTCTCCTCATATTTCCACATCAAGCTTGGGCTAAAGAAAGAATGGTTAACTCAATGTTACAATGTACTTTGGGTGCTTGTTGGAAAGTTTGAAAGTGTAGTTTGTGATCAGGTCACCTTGGGAAATGAAGAAAGGACTTCAAAGGTCAGCTGGCTACTGAACTGCAAGTACTGTGATAAAACAGAACACGTGACAACCTTGTGCTTGCTGATCATGAGAAGGTGTTCATTCCCAAAGCAACATAGCCTCACTTTGCAAGTTGATATTGTTGGACTAATAATATTTAGATATTGTACAAGCAAGACTTAGAGTAAATAACTGAATTGTAAATAAACTACCACTTCGAATGCTCTTGGGGGAGAGAGAGCAAGGAGGACCAGGGGCATGTGAGAAGGGCAGGAAGTATGGTGGGCACTGTATGGGAACTGCCCCACTGTCAGGGTTTGGAGGACTTTCAATGCATCCTGCTGACTCCGAGAAACCAGAATTTCACCCTTTGGCTTTTCCTAGAAGAGTCACCTTTTGTTGATGCCAAATGGGCTTTCAATATCACATCCATCCGCAGCAGAATTCATTCTAAGGGAGAATGCCTGGACCATGGGGTATCTTGGCTCTAGGCTTAAGTGTGGGGTGGGGTAAAGAGATGGATGATTGATGCCACTAAGATGTTTCTTTGTCTGCAGCAGCAAATAGCCCCTTTTCTAAGACCTGATCATAAGTGTTCCATTCCATCGATCCATGTGTATGGGATAGGGAGAACTTGGGGAAACGTCAGTCACTTGTGAGCTCTTAATCACCTATGCTTTCAGTAGCCAGGGGCAAGAGCAGCTGCCCTAGGTTTGTGTGTGCTGCATGTGCTATTTCTAAGGCTAAGCTGGTCATGCCTCAGCCACCTCAGTCACAGTCAGAAGTCTAAGTAAGTCTCCCAGATTATCTGTCATCATACTGATGCTTCTACATCCTTACTCTGACCCATCTCCTACTCTTATGGCCCTCTCTAACTCATCCTCTGTCTCTTTTGTAACTTTAGGCTTTCTCATTTAAAAGCCTCTCTATATCCACAGCCTTTTTTCTCAACTTCTCTTTATTGCTCTATGGGAAAACATGGCTCACCAGAAGAAACAGCTTTCCTAAGCCTCTAAAAAGAAGGCTATTTTTACTTGAACTCCACTTTCTTACCACCTAGTTTTCTTTTACTACTTCCAACACATCCTTCTTACAATGTCTTCTAAAAGCCATAGTTTCTTCTAAGTATATGTCATCAATTTATAATATCCCCCTCCCTATCTATTCCTGTCACACATAAGAAGCTTAGTCATGCCACCTAATTTTGATGGCCTCAGACCCGATAAATTGCCTCACTTTCCATCATATCTTGACATTCATCATTGTCTGTAATTTCAACAACTACATTAATAATTCACATGAGACTGATTTAAAAAATGGACCCAATTGTCTATATTTCTCTGTATCCATGCCCTTTACAACTCTGCTTATCAAGAAGTGAAGTCTATTTCTATATCCTTTTAATTTGGTCCTACAGAATCTTAGTAGATTCTATGGCCCAGATGATGATAAGTTAGAACAAGCTAAATAGATTAGTGCGGGACTTCTCCAACTTCCATTGTTAATGGAAAGTAAACATTTCTGAGAAGAGCAAGGATCAAACTTATTTGATCATGGAACCCTATTTTTATGTACTTCTATGTCAATATTTTCTGATTAATAGACTTCAATCTCATTTTCTGATCAAGTTTGGGCAGCACCCATGATAGCCACAATTGCAGAATTACATAATATTCTCAATTCTACTTGATCTCCTAACATAATATTTAGCAGCTCTGTTCATTATGTAGCACTTAATATCTGCACCTGCTTTATGGTTCTCTATACCTGCTCCTTTGTTGGCAGTAATGAACAAATTCAACAAAAATTCTTACTTTTGCTTTTCAATTTGGATTTCCTCCTCTTGAGCTTTGCACAAGTCCTCTTTAAGGCTGATTATTTGGTCACAGGATAAAAGTGGAGAAATATACGTTCCATCAATGTGCAGATCATCAAAGCATAGCTTTCTGAAGGCATAGGAATCATCACAACAGTGACCCACACCAGCATTGATAGGCTGTGTCTCATGTCTTCTGCATAAAGCTCCAAGAATTAGCTTAGCCTTTCCCAGAAGAGAAGTAAAATAAGAGCGATTAGGTTTGCGGTTGTTATTTTCTTACCCACAGAAAACAAGGTTATATTTAAGTATTCTCACACTCTAGCACCTTGATTTCACTGTTTGGGGGAAAGGAAGAGTCAGGTGCAGCCTAGTTCTGAGACTTGGCTTCCCTCGTCCTATCATCCTCAAGTTGAGTTCACCCTATGAATCTCTATATATCTGGCTGCTCATCTCTGTCTTTTATTATATCCTTTGATCAACTGATAAACATAAGGGACAGAATTATTAGGCTCTATGGATAGGTCATAGATGTATCCTGACATGAGATTGCTTGCTGAGGGTTAGAGATTAGAACTTCAAGAACAGGTAAACATGAAGTCATGGATGTGCTTACCACGTCCTCCATGCAGACAAACTGCTGTTCATCACTCAGAGGGCAACATTTGGTGGCGGCAGCTGCCATGTTCTTTGTGAACATAACCAACTCTTGAGCAGATAGTTGTGGGGCTTTCTTAGTATAATGGACCAGGAGCCTGAAAGAATAAGTTCCTCTTACAATGACTGTGCGCCTAGAATGACGAATTCTACAGAGTTTTCCTCGATATCTGATATTGTCTCTGATTGAAGTTGAACATGGCATTAAACTGGGTTTAATTCTATCCTTTCAGTCCTTGTTCCAATAGCCCAGTGGCTTATTCAATATACCTGGCATTCTCTTCCAACCTCACACACTGTAATGTTAACCATGTCGCCTAGAGAAGGGTTCTTCAGAGAAACACTGCCACTTTGGGAGTTTTCTCTCTTGCTTTCATGTGACCTTATTTATGTGGAAGATTAGTACTATGCCCCTAATTACACCGGTATTCAGTAAAATCCCATGTTTCTGTTTCTGTTTACTGGGAAGATTTAGCTTTATAGATTTTTTTCCTCTCAATAGGTAACATTTGGAAAAATATCAATGTCTTTCATGCACAGTGTGGAGACATGTGAATATCCATAACAGTTTTCAACTTGTTTCTGTTAAAACTGTATCTTTAGGAATATAATTTGAATAACTTGGTCTTGTCAGACTCTGAAGACTTCAGTAATTATTGTCTTCAGGGAAAAATAACCTACAAAAATTTTGCTCCACACTAATCTATCTTTTTTTACTTATCAAGGATAACTATGATAGCTAATTTGGATTGCTGCAAAATCAGATGTGAACAGGTTCCAAAATAAGTATATACATAGACCATTCAAGCTGTTATTGGTTTTCTACAATGTGAAAGAGTAGGTACTACAGCAATGATCAGGAAACAATCACTAGGGATCACACTCTAGTCAGGAGAGAGACAAATACACTTGGCGGAGTGAGAGGAGTACAGAGTGCTGGAGGTGCGCATAGAATGTAAGTGCACAGGGAAATTGGACAGGCCTCCTGGAGGAAATGACATGTGAGCTGAGATCTGACAATAACTAAAAATGAGCTGGGTTGAGGGGAATGAAAGTGAAAGGAGAACATTTTGGAAGTCATTGAATCTGATTTTTTCCCCTTGATTGGGAGGTAGCTGTAGAAAGGAGAGGAAAGATAGGTTAGTAACAGAATTAGATTTACAATGTTTTTAACATAATCATGGTTGTTGTATAAAGAATGGATTGGAGGTGGGCACTAGGCAATGTGAGTGAAGAAAAAATCTGAAGGCCATTCCAGTCATTTATGTGAGAGATGGTGGTAGCCTGAATTAGGAGAGTGGTGGTGGGAATTGAGAGATATAAAGAGAGATTTTAAAGAGAAAGACTCTACAGACTTGGATTCGAGGAGAACAAACAAAATCAGAGACAATTCTTGCATTTATATTATAATGGAGTTGGAGGACGGATTTAGCTATAACATCCAATAAAACAGTCAACCTAATCCAGTGTTTCTCAAATTGTGACTCCTGGATCAGCTGTATCAGCACTCCTGGGAACTTGGTAGAAGCCCAAACTTCCAGGTCCCATCTCAGACTTAGGAATCAGAAACTCTTGGGGTGGGGCTGTATTTAACAAGTCCTCTAGGTAATTCTAAAGTTTGAACCAGAGATCTAATCCTTAAAAGTAGACATTAGCAGTTGAACACAACATAAAAGAAAAGTAATGAGCCACATATTCTCTCTGAAACAAGACCAATTTTTTCTGAATCCATTATTCTGGACATTTAATTTAAGATCAATAATACTATGAGACACTATGTCGAACTGAACTTTGCCTCAATAATCCTTTTCTAAATAGACTATTGCAGTGTGATTCTAAAGACTCCTAAAAATTGGCTTTTGCTTTTTGATGTATTAATCTTTGAAATACAATGGGATTTACCAGTCTCTCTGCACATAAGAAGTTGTGTGTGTTCCCTATGGCAATTAACTAAGGTATCCATTCATCTGTACTCTCAGTGGTGACAATACTAAATTTACCATATGGACTTGATTTGAAATGGACACAGGGATCCTACATTAGATCTCTGTTGTAGCTTTAACTCAAAATTGCATGCAAAGCCCTAAGCTAGATGCCCAGATGTGTGGGAGGGAGCCCCTGTGAGATTGCAGAAAGGCAGCCAGGGCCTGCTTGGCTCCTTAACCTCTGGACATTGACTGAAATCTGGAATCTGGCCTGGAAAACAGAGGAAACGTTATATGGCATCTATCTTATCAAGACAAAGATAGCTAGGTTATTTCTGAACTGATGTTTTCCTTAGCCTCTGAGATTTTAAGGTTGGCTATAGACTCTTTGAAACTCTCAGCATCAGGAGTTAGCAAAAGCTCACTAAACAAGTATAAATCTGGACAATATCTTACAAGCATACCTGTCTTGGAAGTTACTATATCCTAATTTCTCACGTAAATCACAATGATTTTTAACGTGCTCGTGACTTTCATGAACCACTCGTTGGAACATCTCTTTCTGAAAAATAAAGATAATCAGTGTTTATCTATCATTGTAACAATATATCTCAGGTAAGATTGCAAAACCATCTTCTATAAGAATTTAATGTAGCTGTTTTCCTAAACCCAGGGCTTTATTTATTTACTGAGTTAACAAATCTTGAAAAACATGTTTTGCTAAAACAGGAATGGCCATGTACTTTGTGGGAAAAAAGTGGGACAGTGAAATTAATATTCAATTTTCCATGATAAAAACTCATTGTGATTAAATAGCATGTTTTACAAGTATAAGGCAAATCATTCATCAAGCCAAAAAGAGATCATTAATGGTAGTTTATAGATCTAAGTTTAATTGGTCAGTGTGTGTGTGTGTGTGTTTACTGGTTATTTTTAATAATACTGTCTTTTTACATAAACAGCAAATATAGAGAAAAAGATATAGAGATAAAGAAATATGGACATGTATTAAGAAGTGGTGGTGTAATAAAAATATGCAGCCTTGAAATATATTAAAATACTGCAGAAATCCACATTAAATCAATCAAAGGGAATTCTCAGCGATTACTGTAAATTCAGTTTTTGACCACACAAATTAATTCCGGTGGGAAGATACACGTGACCTTGCAGGCTGAATACTTTGGTAGGAGCACCAAACCAAGTCCCCCTGATCCGGATAGGTAATGTTTGTTGTAGGGAAAATGTTGCCAGACATGTAAACTGTTTGCCTGGATTTAAGCCTCAGCCCTGTCCTTACTGCCTGTATGGCATTGGGCAAGTCATTTGAACCTTCTGAAATTCAATGCTCTCATCTATAAAATGTTGTTAGCAATTCTGGCATTACCTGATACCAAGCTTTTATGAGGACCAAATAGAACACTGGGTATAAATTTGCTGTGTTAACTCTAAACATCCATGTTTCCTTAGGTGTTATTACCATAATGATTATTGTGGAGGTCTGCTGGTGATGCCACCAGAGGGTGCTAACCTATAGGAGACTAAATCACTTTCATTTATCCTTCTCTTTGTGAACAGGAGGATGCTAAGTGTACCTGCTCATGCCCAGACAGGTCAAGAGATTCCCTTCACCCTCCACTCTCACCCCCACCCCACACTCTATAAATATGTAAGCCATTGGTTAGAACAAAAGCCTGTTTCCTGTTTCCTGATAACCCCCCCAAAAACAATCGAACAATCAGATTTGTAAGGCCACCTGTATTTTTCATGTCAAATGCATAACAGGAGCTGCTGCCTATGAACAATATGATTTCTGGCCAGAAATAGGAACAGTTTCCAGGCCTGCTTGATAGAAATAGTCGACCTTCCCAACAGACTGTGCTGTCATGCTACCTGCTATGGTGCCAGACATTCACTTTAAAGAGGAGATTGCGTAGCGAAGCTTCCAGGACGTACAGAATCTATAAGACAGTGACTTGCACAGAGAGTCACTGTGGTATGATGATGTGGCCTTTGGTTTAGATGACAGTGATAGTCCATGTGTAGTGAAATTAGCCAGAACATGTATAATCGTCTTACGAAAGTATGGCACTACTAACAGAACTGTATTTTTTCCTGTGCTTGTAATCACTTATGAGTAACAGGTTGAACAATAAAAAGGCATTTACCCCATGGCTATAGCATTCCAGAGGATTTTCTAATTTACAGCATTTTTCCAATAACTTTTGATACACTGAATCCACTCTTAAAATCACTGGAACTGCCAACTCTGGATGTCTTCTTGAATATTCATAAAGAAACCTGTATCCATATGAAACATATTTGAAAGTAAACAGTAAAATTCAAAGGCTATGAGTTTTCTCTCTAACGCCATTTATAATTCTGAAATTTATTCAATATTTAACTGACCTTAAGACATTTAGAAACCTTAGGAGGCTGGCAGGTAATTTTATTGACTACATTTTGAGGTAAGGAAACCAAATCAATAAAATATATGATGTTTTTTAAGTCACACAGTAGCCAAGCCGGGATGGCTCAGTAGTTGACTGTCAACCCATGAACCAAGAGGTCACTGGTTCAATTCCCAGTCAGGGCACATGCCCGGGTTGCAGGCTCAATTGCAGTAGGGGGTTGCAGTAGGGGGTGTGCAGGAGACAGCCAATAGGTGTTTCTCTCTCATCAATGTTTCTATCTCTATATCCATCTCCCTTCCTCTCTCTCTAAAATCAATAAAGACAATAATAAATAACTACTTTTTCAAATAAAGTCACACACTAATGAGTGGCAGATCCAGAACTTAAACCTCAAATACTTTAATTAGCTGATAGTTCTTGGCTCAGAATCTCTAGTTACTTTCATTAGAAATTAATTTTAAGTACTTGGGTGAGAACACATTTTTCTCAATGATTGTTGAGGCTAGATTTTATAAGTATTACAATTCTTTTGAAAGAAGTGCTGGCTGGCTAAGTATTAAATCACCATTTTTCCTTCTTTTCCATATAAACTTTCAAACATAAGTAGTTCATGCATAATCTACCCATTCTTCTGGGTTACAAGGAAGGAAATTTGGAGTCTAGGATCTATACAAAGGAATCATAGAATTGCAGGAGGTATCTTAGAATTCATCTTATCCAACCACCTCAGTTTACTGTTGGAACACAAGAGTCTGGAGAAATTTCGTGGCTTGACCTACATGCCAAATGGCAAAGCTGGACTGGAAATCAAGTCTCCCAACTCATAGTCTAATGTGAAAACCACTAAAAAGCTAGGCCTAACAACTTCTTCAGTACCAGATGCAAGTTTAGGAATAAGTAGGTTCAGGAAGAGACACTTACTTTTTAAGCCAAAATCCAATATAAATTTTGAAATATAGCTATGGACTTTCTACAAATCCAAATAATATTTCACAAAGTGATCTTGGAAATATTTTAACCATACAATAATATTGAAGTCAGTTTGTCTTATGCACAAATTAATATGCACTTCTGAATGGATACCAGAGATATTAATACTCCATCCATATCTCTAATCTTTAAATGCCACACTATGGTTTTGGGTGTAAGTATTAATTAAAATAGAAGAGCTTCCCGAGTTGGTTTGTCTAAGTGGATAGAGTATTGGCCCGAGGACTGAAGGGTCCCTGATTCAAATCCAATCAAAGGCATATGCTCATGTTGTGGGCTCGATCCCCAGTAGGAGGTAGCCAATCCATGATTCTCTCTCATCATTGATGTTTCTATCTCTCTCTCCCTCTCCCTTCCTCTCTGAAATCAATAAGAAATATATTTTTAAAATAATAATTAAAATAAAATAGAAGAGCTGACCAGGTATATCATTCTGAAGCTCTTACTTAGAGGACTCTAAGTCCATTAGAGCAAACATTTGACCTCCACTGCATTTTTTAAAAAGTTCCTGTATTAGTTGTCAACATTTAAAAATTAAGAAACTCCAAGAATCTCTCAAAATGCAGTAGACCTAACCACCCAAAGCCTGCATTCCAATATGGTAACATGTGGCTGGAGTTATGTAGTAGCTGCCAACTTTGGACTCCACAAAACATCTCCTGCTGGTCACAGTTCCCATTTAGTTGCTCATTCACATCATTGGCTAACCGCTGTCATCATTTAAGTTTACAACTTTATATACTATTTTAAATAATCTATAAATATAATATTCCATCATTAATATTTTATAAAAAATCTGTATTACTCTTGTAGAAAATCATCCTGCTTGTCAGTGAATTGTTTGCATACAAATCCATCTTCCGTAAACCTGCTGAGTGGCAGGGATGAGAGATGAGGCTTATTGTCATTTTCAGAGTTGATAATGCATTCCCCTCTGAATGGCACTGGCAGTGCACAGCATGGAGTGATCTTGCTGGATAGGAGAGCCTGTTTAGAGCAGGTATAGTTCATAAGCTGGCTCTAAAACAGAAAAGGGAGCAGTTGTTTTTGATGACTTCATTCTAACTTATTAATTAATTAATTAATCTATTTATTGTTATTAATAGGACACAAGATAAAAACTTCTCATCTTATATTGCTTTATCCTTGGCAAACTGAAAGACCAAAAAAGTCATTTGTAGTGACTCATTCTAATTAGAAAAGCTTCTCTATTTGATCTTGCTCAAGTGTCACAATCTCTTTTAAATAGACCACAGTATTGTTTCCATGTTTAGGTCAACAAAATACAAATGAAGAGTTTTATTGTCTTGCTATTGTTACTATTGTTGTAAGATCTCAATTTAGGAGACATTTGTCTCTGTCATTTACTATATATCCTATATAATAAAAGGCTAATATGCAAATTGACCAAATGGCAGAAAGACTGGTCGCTATGATGCGCTCTGACCACCAGGGGGCAGACGCTCAATGCAGGAGCTGCCACCTAGTGGTCAGTGTGCTCCCACAGCTGGGCTCATGGCTGGTAAGTGCAGTGGTGGTGGCAGGAGCCTCTCCCACCTCCACGGCAACACTAAGGATGTCCGACTGACGACTTAGGCCCACTCCCCACGAGGAGTGGGCCTAAGTCGTCAGTTGGACATTCCCCAAGGGCTTCCGGACTATGAGAGGGCACAAGCTAGGCTGAGGGCCCCCCCTCCCCAGAGTGCATGATTTTCATGCACCGGGTCTCTAGTATTACAATAATATTACTATTACGTATACTTACATACATTTACCTATCCATACATATGTGCACACAAATAATGGTGTGTGTGCATGAATAAGCTAGTCTCTACACTTAAGCAACTCACAATCTAGTTGGAGGGTCAAACAATTAAACAATAATAATGCATTATAACAGAAATTGTAAAAAAAAAAGGTATATATATGACACTTTGGAAGAAAAAAGCAATTTGTAGTGTGAAGATCTTGAATAATTTGAATCTTAAAGGACATATAGAAGTTAGCTGGAAACAAAATAAGAGGAAAAGCATTCTAGAATTGTTCATCTTTATATGTAAAGAATCTTAGAGGTAAGAGAAAACTGTCACACCAGTTTCTATCTTCATCCCTGCTCATTTCACAGACAAGTTCTTTCAAACCTTCACAGAAAGGTAAGTCTCAATACTATTTAATTTATGTCAAAAAATTCAAAAGGAAAAAAAAATTCTAATTCATTATTTAGAAGTTAACATAACTAAATACCAAAATCTGATAAATAATAATTACTTTTACAGATTCATTATATACCACTATCACCTTTATTTAAGCAATACAAGGTTTTTAAATTAACTAATTGGGGTGATATTGGTTAATAACATTATATAAATTTCAAGTGTACAATTCTATGATACATCATTGCATTGTATGCTCATCACCCAAAGTCTACCACCATATAGTTGACCCCCTTTAACCTTTTCATCCTCCCCCAATCTTCTTCCCCTATGTTAAGAATTATAAGTATTTTAAAGGCCAGAGTGAGTTTTGAGAAGACACAGGATCCTACCCTGCCAAATACACATGCTACTGCATTTCCTTCACAACAGGTCTGATGAAGATTTTTAATATCAGCTGCCAGTTTGGCAATTTCAGAAAAGTTAGCTTTAGGTTGTTTTTTAGTCAACAGAACCAATTCCCTGAAAAAAAAAAAGATACATTTTAAACAACATTGTGAATTTGATTATTTCTAAAGTTAGTTCTAATTCACTGAGTAACAAAAGGATAGAAACACATTGTAAATGTAGGGTGAAGAGAATATTTTAAATGCTTTCTGTTTCTTCAATGATGGCACCCAGAGTCATACAATATCTAAGTCACAAAACAAATATGATTCAACTGATAATCATGGATAATATAGTCATTTTAATCATTTAAATTATTGCTTAAAGAGTTGAGCTGCTTCAAGAAGTGATTTGGATATTTATCTGACCTGTTTTGCAAATAAAAGTCTTCATCACAAAGACAATAATTACAGGAGGCTTGGGTGTCCCTTGCCTCTCTCTGTTGCCAACTGAGCAATATCCCTATTTTAATAACTTAAATTATTGCTTAAAGAGTTGAGCTGCTTAGAGAAGTGATTTGGATATTTATCTGACCTGATTTTCCAAGTAAAAGTCTTCATCACAAAGACAGTAATTACAGGAGGCTTGGGTCTCCCTTGCCTCTCTCTGTTGCCAACTGAGCAATATCCCTAAAATTTCTCTGGAAATAGGGAAAATGGGCCTGCCTTGGAAGGAGAACTGAGCTTCTGGGCAGCCCAATGTTGTCCTAAATTGGAGAAGAAGGTAATATAAGGCAGATGAATGTCTTTAGGGGTCAACTTGGACAGAAACACAATCTAGGCCAGAAAAGAGGCATATTGGATAACATCAAATTCTTCTCCCGCCTCATCCTCCTCCATTCCCACCCCAAGAAACACCACTGACTTCCTCTGTTCTGTGTAACATTGAAGCCAATGTTTTCCTAACTTCCCAGAAAAAATACCTTTTGTCCTCCAGCCTTTACCATGCAGAATAATTAAGTACCTGCTTCTGTATGTATGGAATCAGTTGTGCACTGAGGAAGAGACTAAGGGTGAGCAGATGGAAAAAACTGAAGCAGGAGATAATGGGCAGAAATGACAACTGTGCCATTTCATGCTCAGCCCTGTGTGCCCTATTGCACAGATATGCAAATTGGTTGAATGGTGGAACAACCAGTCACTATGACGCACACTAACCACCAGGGGGAAGAAGCCGGGCTCATGGCTGACAAGCTCAGGGACAGTGGCGGGAGCCTCTCCCGCCTCCACAGCAGCACTAAGGATGTCCAACTGCCAGCTTAGGCCAGTTCTTCGTGTGTTTTTTTTGTTTTGTTTTTTTTTTGGTAGAGCAACTCTAGGTTTATTATTTGCAGATGAATGCAAGTCTAACTGATACACAGGTACTCCCTTCCTCCACTCCATAGCCCCCTTTACAGAGAGAAGCCAGAGCTTTGTAAGTCAAAGGCTAGGACATATTGGTCACCATGGAAAAGCTAAGATGTTTTTATTTTTTTAAAGTAGGCTAATTGGAGAATGGAGATGAATTATTCAAGAAGGGAGGAACTCAATCTGGGAAAAGAAAGACTGGGAAGGATGGGAAACTATTAGATTCCACAAATGGTAGGGACTTGAGTGGCTCCTGTGTTTCTTGTGTCACCAAGTGCACAGCACTGAAAGCAGAGGTAGGTTGGTTCTTTGTAGCTGAGTCTGGTCAGTAGAGAAGATCACTGTAAAGGGTGTTTCTCACCCTGCCCAATGCAGCAATTCTTGGAGACCACTTTATGTATGTTAGAGTTTTCATTTCTTTTTGTAGATCCAAGTACAGTATCTTTCCAGTTCTCAAAATCCATCTTTTCAGGTTTGTCTCCCGGGACCACTCCAGATATGAATTCCATAGTAGTCAGAATCACTCCTGCCTCAGCAGCTATTGAGCCTGCTGTGGTCCCATCTGCCACCATCTTCTCCACCACCGCCTCTTTTTTTTTTTTTTTTTTTACGGTTCCCAACGGGAGTTTATTTTGTGCTTATCCCAGCGGCGGCTGTTTGCCTAGTATGGCACTGGCTACGTGGGCTCTACTGCCGTGTGCAGACTTGGCACAGGGCTAGGTTGGGCACTACAGGGTGTTGACTCCTACCAGGTAGAGGAATGTAGACCAGGAGTGGAAGAGACGGAGGGAGAGGGGTGGCCTGCGAGGAGTGAGGCCAGAGAAGGCCGGTGCGGTGGGGGATGTGAGGATGCGGGGGAGGGGGTTCGCCTTCACTTCGAACAGTGGGAAAATACATTCTTGTTTGGAAGTATATGGAAAAGACCGCTCATATACCAAAGTTTCTAGAAAAGAGGGGGCGACCTTTATAAGAAGAGAGGGAGGGTGCCAGGCTCGTCCGCAGGGCGTTGGGGAGCAGGTCAGTCTCGGCCCACCGTGCACCAGGCAGCTAGTGAGGGGCAGGAGAGACACGTTAAGCAGGGGAGGTTGTTGGGGACCTGTAGGACCATTATGACCGGTTGACCAGTCACTATGATGCACACTGACCACCAGGGGGCAGATGCTCAACACAGGAGCTGCCCCCTGGTGGTCAGTGCACTCCTACAGCCAACCTCCTGTGGCGATCAACTTCCCATGGTCCCTCCCCCTGGCTGGCTGGCCCCGATCGGCCCCAATAGGGACTGGGCAAGAAGGCCACGGTTGGGCCCCCATCACCAGCTAGGCCGAGGGACTCCACCGTGCACGAATTCGTGCACTGGGCCTCTAGTTTATTTATAAGAGAGTTTCTGAATACTTAGTTCATAAGGTTGTGTCTGATCACAGATACAATTTTTGAACAATTGGTTATGTAATTTTTCTGAGGTTGGGAGCCAGAACTACTAGGAACAGACATCTTGGAAGTAGCAACTCTAAATATCACAAAACGAGGTAGAGGAGAAAAGAACTCTTAACCAACTTAAAAAAATTTGCTTATACCTAACATTATAGAGGCATGTTATACATGAAAGAAAAATTTTCATTGCAAGGGTTAAGGTTAAGAAAACTTTGTAACTTAAAATAGTAAGCACCAAGTTACCTTGAGAATACATTTTCATGAAAATTCTCAATCTTCAGAAATACCAGGTAATGAAACATAAGTTTGCATGATCATTAACTTTTTGTTTTTTATTAATATGAAACCAAAAACAATAAAAAAAAAAAGACTGTCCTGCTAGGAATACAGAATTGGCTTCTGAAAGAACTGGTGTTCACTAAGAGAAAGAATGAAGAGGAAGGTAATATATATATATCCTACATAATAAAAGGCTAATATGCAAATTGGTTGAATGGTGGAACAACCAGTCACTATGACGCACACTAACCACCAGGGGGAAGAAGCCGGGCTCATGGCTGACAAGCTCAGGGACAGTGGCGGGAGCCTCTCCCGCCTCCACCGCAGCACTAAGAATGTCCAAGTGCAGGCCGGGCTGAGGGACCCCCCAAGTGCACAAATTTCATGCACTGGGCCTCTAGTTTAATGATAATAGCTATAATTATTGCATATTAGCATATGCCAGAAACTCTTTAGATATATAATTTAATTTCTTGTACAAGGTAGACAATGAAGAGCTCAATAGGAGAAACAGTGTAAAGGAATAGAGAAATAGAAGTTTAGAGGAATATGAGATAACATCTCACTGAAAAGATTAAAAAAGAAAACAGCAAGGAAGAAGCGGCACTGCATTTAGCCTTGAGGAATTCATCAACTTGATTATCAAACTACTACTCATTTCATCACAACCTTTGGAAAATCCATCTGGTGCCTCCTCTAGAAAAAATGGTTATTGTACATTGATATTTAGAACCTTTAATTTGCACACACAAAACATATTTTGTCATGAAATTAATCACATTTACAACTATTTATACATAATTTAATGAAGGACAAAATGCCACATGGTTAAAATTAAGTGTGGCTGACTGTACATTCCAAAGATGACTACAGCAATGTTTTCTATCCTATGTTCATCTTACAGTGAGACATTGACAGTTCTCCCATCAAAAGTTACAAGATTATTATATACTGTCCCCTTCAAACTGTTGAGTTTTCGTGGTGTTTCAACCACAGAGTATGGCAGAAGTAACATCTGAGTCTGGGTCTTGAAAGGGCATATCATTTCTGCTTTACCCACTAGAATACTCATTCTTAAAGACTTTGGCCATGGGAAAGCAGTGGAATTGCCCAAGGCTGCCATGCTGTAAGGAAGCCCAAACAAGTTAAGGCATTGTGGGCAATGAAGAGACGCTATAATAAATCTCACCAAAAATAACCTCACAGGGTGTTCTGATCACAGCTTCCTAACTGGGCCCATTATAGTGGGCTGTCATTTTAGCAAAATGCTTATCTTTGCCCTAATCAAGTCCTGTCCATTGTTTCTGTACATCTATGTTAACATCTTTGAAATGCTTTATAATCTTGTTAACTATCCAATTTATAAAACTACCAAAGTGCCATTTTCCCAACATTTAAGATTTTGGTTCCTGACAGTGTCATCAGTTTGGCTCAAATAAATTCTTTTAAAAATTCTCTATAGGTTTTTGCATTCTTTTGTCAACAGCAGAAAGAATTCTTGGAGAGGCCCTGAGATTGTATGAGAAGAAAGAGATGTTGAAGCACCCCCGCCCCCCGCCCTCCCCCACCTGTGTTTCAGCCCTTCAGAGTTCCAGACCCAAGCATTGTCTGACTATACCCACATGAAAGGCCATGAGACAGAAGCGCCCAGATGAGTCCTTCCTGAATCCCTGCCAGTCAGAAATCAAGAGAATAAAATGATTGTTTTGAGTCACTAAAATTTGGGGTGTTCTGTTACGTAGCAACAGTAACTGAGATATTAAATATTTATTATGGAGTAATATCTATGCTAGATCATGCTCCTCAAATTTATATGACTATACACATCGCCTAAGTATCTTGTTAAAATGAAGTCTTGTCTAGTAGGTCTGGAGAAGAGCTGCAGATTCTGCATTTCTACAAGCTTCCAGGTGATGCACATGCCGTTGGTCCACAGCCCACACTTTGCATAGCAAGGCCCTGAATAACAGTTGACATATGAGTATCTTACCTTTATCTGGAAGCATTCAGTCTTATTTTCTTCTTGGCAACATGACTGAACAGCTGTTTCATAGCAAGCAGACATGGTCAGAATAGTGGGTCCATACAAGAATGGATGCTTTCTAGAAGTTTCATAAATATACCTGTAATTTGACAAACCAGAAGTTGTGTTCTTTGGAGTTCAAGAACATGTGCAGATGCTGTTTCCTAAAAATGTAGGGTTGTCCTAGCCAGTTTGGCTCAGTCAAATGAGTGTCGGCCTGTGGACCGAAAGGTCCTGGGTTCAATTCTGATCAAGGGCACATGCCTGGGTTGCGGGCTCAATCCCCAGTGGGGGTGTGCAGGAGGCAGCTGATCAATGATTCTCTCTCATCATTGATGATTCTATCTCCCTCTCTTCCTCTCCCTTCCTCTCTAAAATCAATAAAAATATATTTAAAAAACAATTTAGGGTTCACTTAGTTTTGTTAACCTATAACATCTAGAATATCATGGTGTGAAAGATATGAACTAGCACTATACTTAAATGCATCAAATGTTCACAATGGATAGATTACTGTGAAGTTAGTCAGACATTTCGAGTGACCATGAGGTAACCAAGTATACCTCTGGGATGATGGGGAAAGAGAATCAGGAATCAAAACTTTTCACTCTTACATAAGCATAGAAATTAGAAAATTCAATAGTCTAAACTGAATTATAAATGCAGAATTGTACACGAGTACAGAGGAATTAAATTTAGAAGTTCTTTCTAGACTAAGAAAGTTGTGCTATCTTTTCAGTCCAAAGTAGCTGACTTTTTCTACAGCATTGATATAAATTACTGTTTCCTTGGTTGAGAATTAAATCACGTTCTTGGCTTATAATTATGAGGCAAGTAGTAGAAAATTATTTGTCCCTTGAATATTTATAGTTGTATGCACATAAGTTAAAATTAGCAAATAAAATAACCCCTTAATTACTGACTTTATTATAAATATTCAAGAAGAGGTTAAATTCGCTGCCTGAGTATTGGTTGGAATTTTTAATCTCTGAAAGTTCAACCCAAATCTGATTCTATAATTCTCACCTACATTAAATGGGTAGCCATTTTTCCATTCCCATTTAGTTGCCCTTAATGTCAGACAAGTTGGGACCCTATCCAATTTCTGTTCCATCATCCTTTCTCCCTACGTGGCTGAGGACACTTAATTTTTTCTTGAAGGCTCAGTAATTGCTGGAGCAATTCTGCTCTTTTATGGGTGAACTAAAAGAATTAGCATATTCAGCATTGTCACCCTGTCTGCCCATTCATCTCTGGCCTAGAGTTTCATGACTAAAACCTGAAAATCAAACTTCTTCCATGACTTGCACTCTAGATCCAGAAATCAGATCTTTGCCTTATTCCTGGTGTCTGAGCCTGTACTGATAAGATAGCCAGAACTGGATTCCTTGAGAACTGAAGCCTTGTATTTATCTTGTCATTTCTATCTCTCTGGGTATTGATTTCCTGCCTCTAAACCCAGCCACTTGCTAGCACACTACTCTCAACATATAGACTCCTCCTGTGTGAACTAGAAAACCAAAATATGAGCTTGCCTACCCATTTGCCATATGCTGTCCACTCCAGGTGGGAATTATAGAACCAGAGTTCTTGTGTAGAATACTCATTTCTGACATCTACAATTGTTATTTATTCCTAGTGTCCCAATGACAGACCCTGTGTCCATGCCTATCGGATACCATCCCTGATATCCCCTGATGAACATCCCAAATGCCAGCCCTTGCCTGAGCTATTACCTGCTCTCTGTTTCTAGTACTTTCTGTTTATTATACTTTACCTGTTTGACTATACATTTCAACATCATTTGCTTCTGGTTTGACTAATGTAACCTTTAAGGAGATGGGTCCATTATAGGTTCTAGTCACTTTTAATGTTTCATGGCTCAGACATTTCCATATCCTATTGAGTTCACTGAGACCATAATTGTCATTCAGAGGGAGAAAAAATATACTGTAGCTCAAATTTTCACTTTAATTCCATGTCATAGAGCATTGTGTTCTCAGAGGCTGTTATGTAAAAAAGACCTGTCTTCAGAACTGGAAAATACTCTTCTTCAAAGACAATGGCAAGGAGAAATGACTTACCTCTTCTTCACTAACACTTGATTCCCTTTGTTCACCTCACAGATCTGCTCAAGATTTGGAATTTGCAATATTTCCCTGTAATTCGCATCATCTTTTTTATTTAATAGGAAGCACTTGTGTCTTGCTGTGTTATTTACATTGCAACAGTCAGAAAATACATGTTTGTCAACCATTCCTTGGTTATCACATATATGCTCTAAGAAGGTGGTCATCTGTAGGAGGAAATAATAATTTAAAGAAGAAGCATGTGGGTGCTACATTCCTAACCACAGGAAGAGTAAGGAATTATTATTTTTAAAAATATATTTTTATTGATTTCAGAGATGAAGGGGGAGAGAGAGAGAGATAGAAACATCAATGATGAGAGAGAATCATTGATTGGCTGCCTCCTGCATGCCCTCACGCGGGATTGAGCCCACAACCTGGGCATGTGCCCTTGACTGGAATAAAACCTGGGACCCTTCAGTCCCCAGGCTGATGCTCTATCCACTGTGAGCCAAACCAGCCAAGGCAGAAATTTTCTTTTTATAGGCAACTGAGTGCAGAATGTTACACTTTGTATCCAATAGTCCCTGGACATAGTTCTTCCGTACAAAAGTCTTTTAGGTTTCTAAGTCTAAATTCTCACATGTTGGACATTGACCAAATAGAATTTATTATTCTCTCCTTTCCTATGTAATTGCTTCATTTTCACACAGTTCATAATATTAAAATAAACATAAGCCAGAATGTCCAGAGCCTAAAGAAATCAAGATATTTTAAGTGAGAATTATCTACTAATAAATAGATAGTAGTTTGCTTTCCTGTCTTCCTAGTTTTATTTCCATGGCAAGTTATATTAAGAATTGAACTCTGAAGCAATGTGTATTTAGTGTCAAATATTCAAGTGGAAATGTTAGTTTTCAAATACCTTTGGGTGGCAGTAAATGTGTGGAATAGTGTAAACTTCAAATGACATGTTTTAAGATTTGGGGGGTAAAGGAGTAAAATCTTCAGCTTTTGAAATGTAAATAAGAAGAAATCACTATAAAATAAGTGAGTCTAGCCACTGACATAAGTACTTCATTTAAAATCTGTTTCTAATAAGACTAATAATTTTTCTAAATATATATACAGTCTAATAAAAGGTAGGTTTTAGAGGAAGGAATAAAAATAGAAAGAAGAAAACTACTCATTTGTATTTTAAATTGTTTGTCATGAGAATAATTGATCATGCAGATAGGTAGGTAGGAGATGACAGATAGATAGATGATAGAAAGAATATGTTAGTGTTTATCAAGAATTTGCTAATCACAAGATAGACATACTTTATAAAAAAAATAGTAATTCCTAAGATTTCAAGATTATTTACTAACTTGGAAAAGAGCCCATAATAATATTCACTTCTTTCTTCTTTTACATATTCTCTAAGAAACATTTTAAAATTAGTACTTCATTTTCTCAGGAACCTTTATACAAAGATGTTAGACTATAGTAGTTTAGTGATAGAGGCAAAGCAACCAACTTAACAAATTGACAGTTTAGGCTATAATTCATTCCCTTGAATGTTTGGTTCCAAGAGTCCTAGAGATGCCCTGATAAACTATCTGTACTAATAAAAGCCTAGGTGGTCCTTGCACCCTCACGTGCGACATCATCACAAGATGGCCACCACAAGATGGCCGCCAGAAAGATAGAGGGGGCAGTTGGGGGTGATCAGGCTCAGAGGCGGGGCCAGGTGGCTGCTCATCGCAGTGAGGACTGGGGGTCCCACGGCTCTGTGTGACTTGGACGAGGCGGGTCCCAGCGTCTCTGCCAGCTCGTGTGGAAGAGGTGGGTCCTGACACAGGAGGCAGGTCGTGGCAAGAGGGGGCAGTTGGGGGTGATCAGGCTGGCAGGGGGGCAGTAAGGCTTCAATTAGGCCGGCAGGAGAGTGGTTAGGGGCGATCAGGCTGGTAGACAGAAGCGGTTAGGGCAATGAGGCAGGCAGGCAAGTGAGCAGTTGGGAGCCAGCAGTCCTGGATATGAGAGGGATGTCTGACTGCTCAGGGATTGGGCCTAAACCAGCAGTCGGACATTCCCCGAGGGGTCCCAGATTAGAAAGGGTGCAGGCCAGGCTGAGGGACATGCATTTTGTACACCGTGCCTCTAGTCTATACTAATAAAAGCCTAGGTGGTGTCTCGCCCTTGCATCACCACAAGATGGCCGTCCTCATATCATCACAATATGGCCAACCCCACGTCATCACAAGATGGCCATCCCCATGTTGTCACAAGATGGCTGCCCCAACATTGTCTCAAGATGGCAACCACAATATGGCCACCACAAGATAGCTGGCAAGGGAGGGCAGTTGTGGGCAAACAGGCCAGCAGGGGAGGGCAGTTGGGAATAATCGGGCTGGCAAGGGAACAGTTAGGTGTCCATCAGGCTAGCAGGGGAGCAGTTAGAGGGCGATCAGGCTGGCAGGCAGAAGGGGTTAGAGGCAATCAAGCAGGCAGGCAGGCGAATGGTTAGGAGCTAGCGGTCCCGGACTGTGAGAGGGATGTCTGACTGACGGTCAGTTGGACACCCACAGAGGGGTCCCAGATTGGAGAGGGTGCAGGCTGGGCTGAGGGACAACCCCCAAGTGCACAAATTTTATGCACTGGGCTTCTAGTCTATATATATAACAAGGCAGCAGCCATAACGTGGTAATGACCAGTCGTTATGATATTCACTGCAGCCAACAAACCAGCCCAATAAGGGGTGGGGCCAGCAGGCCAACCTCCCCGAAGCCCCACCCCCAAGCCAGCCCCGACCCTTATCACCGCCCACCCTGATCAGGGGCAGGGCTGGCCAGCCAACTGCCTGCACCCCCACCCCCCAGCTGGTCCTGCCCCTGATGGGTCCCCACCACCCCAATTTGCCTTTGGTCCCTCCTCCTAGCCAGCTCCACCCCTGATTGCCCCCCCCACTCCAATTAGGGGCAGAGCCAGCCCACCTACCACCCATGGCCTCTCCCCCAGGCCGCTGAACCCTGATCAGTCCCTCCACCCTGATTGGCCCACAGCCCCTCCCCCCAGTCAGCTCCACCCTGATCGGCTCCCCACACACCAATAGGGTATGGGGTTTGCTGGCCCACCACCCATAGCCCCTCCCTATGGCCAGCCTCACCCCCAATCAGCTCCCCCACCCCAATTGGGGCCGGGGTCCACCAGCCAATCACCTGTGGCCCCTCTCCTCAGCTGGCCCAGCCCTGATCCGGCCCCAATCAGATTGGGCCAGCCAGCCTACCTCCTTCTGTCTCCTCCTCTCAACAGGCCCGACACCAATCTGCTGATTGGGGCCGGGCTGGCTGGACCCCACCTGTGTATGAATTCATGCACTGGGTCACTAGTAAGTTTATAAAACTATAAAGATTATATCATAAGTATGAATATGTACATATTGCTGCCTTACAATCCTCAACCAATTTGTTCAGCGAGCCCTCCTTATAACAACATGTTTTGGTTGCAATTTAATTGAGAAAGAGAGAGAGAGAGAGAGAGAGAGAGAGAGAGAGAGAGAGAGAGATAGAAGGCACAAGATGATTCACATACCAACTGGTAAGAGCATTCTAGAGGTGACTCATGTAGCTTGAGGCTCTTGCATTTCTCTGCAAAATCTAGTAACTCTTCAACTATGGTTTGTACTTCTTCATAAGTGGATTTCTGAAGAAACTGAGCAACCATAATGCTAATGCTGAAACATGACACTGTGAGTGTTAAAGATAGAATTGAACCCTTTTCCACCATCATTCTTGTTATCTCGTTGTCCCACTCCCCTCCCCCTAAATAATTAATGTGATTTTAAGTTTCAGATAAAAGTATATTGATAATAAAACTCACATGTCTCTTAAGTTCTCCTCCAGATAATTCTGGCTATTAGAGTGCTGCATGGCTGAGGTGGAGGGGCAGGGGGAGAAAAAGAGGCTTTATATGTATAACAGGAAACTTTCCAAATTGAAATCCCCCTTTACAGTTCTGAAATCTATATTTATTCACTCATAAATTTTCAGATGTATTTTTGATTATCATAATGAATTTTAAAAAGTATTGGAATACATCTTTGCTTGTATTTAAACTGTATTCTGTGAATGACATTTCTATTCAATATATTGTGCAGTTGAAATCTATCATTGGCCCACAAATGAGTTACATGTACTTATGTTGAAACTTCTGAAATAATTGAACTTGATGATTTGGTTATTTAACTTTACATTAGAAGAGTTCAATACCACACTGAAGAAATTTTAAGAAAATTAGAGTTTGCTTAATTTGGCAAAAGTGATATCTCACATGTATTGGATTTGCTCGTCATCTTCATCTTACTCCTTCTTACACTAATAGCTTCTATAATGCTTAGCAGCTATCTAGTAAGTAAAGAAACCACTATTACTTGCTATACTAACATAGGGGAAGGCTTTAGAGATAGCTATTCTGAGTTCAACTTCGAGCTCTGATGCTTAATGTGGCTTTGGGAAAATAAGCTCTCAGAATTTGTGTTTCTCTATAAAATGCAAACAAGTTCTTTTGCACTAGATAGTTGTTCACATTAAATGAAGTCATATGTGTGAAGCATCAAACATAGTGCCTGGCTCACAATAGTTACTAAATAATGTAGTTCTAATATTATTCCTGCTATCATGAATACTTTTGATTTATCTAAAGCCATTTATCAAATTTTAAATGCAAGTCTAAAATGTATCATTCTCTCACCAAAGTGAAAATAAGACTAAAATGAATGAGGTCTTCCTGTGGATTGATTCAATATATTAGCTCTCTTCATTCATTCATTTCATAAGTTAATTTCCAGCAATTTTCAATGACCCAATGATAGTAATGAGCACTGAGAAAGAGAAGTCATTCCATATGCATTTTAGTAGTCATTACCTCTTACTAGTACTCCGGGCACATGGAATGTATAGATTGGAAATAGGATTCCCTACCTGCATCTAGTAAACTTCTCTGAAGAGTTTGACCTTTAATGTAGCTGAAGAAAGCAAGAAAATATATGAATCTAACAGTCTTCATTTTTTCAGACAAACTTTTATGGAAGGTACTCTATCATTTGAGGGAACTGAAGAGTCCTCTTATAGTCTTTTTAATTAGTTAATATTAATAATTAAACTTTTTCTGGTGAATATTTTTCCAGGCCACTATGACACTGATCAAGTCAAAGAATTCATAGCAATGAAGAAATGTTGTTGATGGATAGCCATTCATTAACGAATACTGGATTTTTAAAAATGAGTTATTTCAATGTACTTGTTTTTTCAAGATTACACCATGTAGGCCTTGCAATGAAGTAATCAATAACACTTTGGGTAAACATCTCTTTTCCTGGAAGTGTCTGCTGACAAAGTCAAAGTTCTAAAATGAGAGGAGAAGATAAACATGAACTACCCCCAATTCAAATAAATGGTTAAGGCCCCAGTTCCAGTGCTAGACACCTTTTCAAGCCCCTGAGAAAAGTAGGGAGCACAAGCCTTTGGAGAAAGCACAAGGGAATGGGACTGAATTGACTGTGTGCTTACTGTGAGTCTGGCACTTTATATTACCATATAATAGCAATACTCTTTCTTGAATAAGGAATGAAGACTCAGGGTCATATTATTTGCTCATGCATTCACAGGTTGAGATTAAGGCTTGTCTGACTTCAGAGCCTATACCAGCCAAGAGCTAGTATCAAAAGCTGAGGTCCCAACATTCCTTAGTTGCTGTCTGCTTGCCTGTCATTTAATTCTTGGGTCTAAGGAAGGAAACACTGATTAAATAAAAATTCTAAAATAAATGTAAAGTCCACAATTTTTGGAAATGAGAGATCGCTGGTTACTTTAATCATTCCTGTCCTCAGTTTCCTCATCTACAGAGGGAGGGTTTGGACCAGGCCATCTCTAAGGCTGGCAGTCCATTGCTTGATTCTACTACACATGTATTCTCATTTCTGGTCTTCTGGGCAAAATATATCACAACTAAGAGAGATATTTGTTTGAAAAGCAAAGCAAAACTGTCATTATTTAAAATTGGGACACATTGGCTAATGTAAAGAATACTGATGGCCACGTGTGATAGAAAGCCAGGGTCAGCAAATGGAAGTGTCTGGCAGGTTTCCATCATCATTTTCAGGGTTCTCTAAATAGTCCCAATGCTCAACAATTCTTTTGTTTTTGTTTTTGTTTTTTTCCCCAACATTTCTTTTGTTGTGCATCCTTAGAGCTCTTCCCTTGAGATCTTACTCTAAACCTCTGGGAACTATCAGAAATGGCTCTATTACTCTAGGGATGGCATTACTAATTGATGATTGCATTCTTTCTCTCTGAACCTACACTGAGCCTTAAAATCATTCACAGCACAATGCCACAGGACAGCCACTAGTAACTGATTGAAGTTGGAACTTGTTGTATGTGGGCAAAATTAATTTGTCTTTTTAAAAAAATTGAATGAAATTAACTTCCCAGGAGAACCATCCTCTCAGAGTAGGACTTTTGAAAACATAAAAAGATGTTAAGCCTGATGGTGGAATTTCAGACCAGAGGAAAGGCAAGTAGTGGGGATTATTTAAGGAAGGGTAAGGAATGAGTTTTGTGACAGGGCTCAAAAGACAGCAAATAATTTGGTCCCTAAGAGCGTTAGATCTTCAAACTGACCTTTAATATAAGAAATGGAAGGTATACAGGTACAGAACACACTAATAGTTTCTAACAAATGTTATTTGCACAGCAAACTTAATCCTTGTCCAACTAATAGAAACAGAGTTCAAAGGATCTTCAGAAAAACCACGACTGGATCCCTAGGTCCCACCAAAAACCTGGGTGGTGATGGCTCACGCACTCATTAGTCTTGACACTCATTAGTGCACCAGGGGGCTTATCACACTTACAAGCATCTCTAGTACCATAGCATTCTTCCTGCAGCAAGTCTAGGTATGTTTTACTCCTTGATGTGGGTTTTGTCTGAGCAATACAGAATAAGTGGTTCTGAGTCCTGTCTTCTCCATGCAAAATATGTGTTTTGAATAAACCATTCCTCCCCCTCCTCACATCACATTGGTCAATATTAGTTTGTTCTCTGGCACATCAGCAGAGAGTTGTATGGCAGTTTCCTCTGTGATAAAGAGCCTTGTGATGGTAACAGGTTTCTGGGGCTCAGGTGTCATAGCTGCTACTCTTAGCATAGTATTGGACACAGAATAAGATCCACTATTAGATACAAGATAGAATTAGCTAATTGTGCTCTTTTTCACTACTGTTGACTGAATTTATAATCTACTAGTGGCCTGTTGCGTGAAATTCGTGCATGGGGGGGTGTCCCTTGGGGGATGTCCAACTGCCAGTTTAGGCCCACAGGGATCGGGCCTAAACCGGCAGTCGGACATCC